CTTTTATTCATAAATTGTCTTTTTTTTTATTTTTGGTTTGAGAAGAGAGAAAGAGAGTGGATGAAGAAGAAAAAAGCAAAAAAAAAAAAAAAAAAGAACAATTTAAGAAAAAAAATCACTAATCTAATAGAAAACTAGTTAAAGAACTAAATTATTGATGAAATTAGAATATAAAAGACTTAATGATTAGTTTTTAAAATAAAAATGATTAATTAATTTGTTTCTTTAAATGAGAGGGACTGATTTATAATTTACTCTCAACAATACGTACAGTAGTGGATAAAAAAACCCCATCAAGGTTAGGTTACGGTTAAAAATATATAAATAAATGGATGGTTAAATGTAAATGAATGAAATAGTAAAAGTTAAAAAATGATAATTGAAGGGTAAAGTATTAAGAGTATTTGACAAGCATGTAAACATTATGTGTAATAGTGAATAAAATTTATACTGATGGGATCCAATGTTTTGGTGTGGAAAAAAAATGAGAGAGGAAGAAATGGATGATGAGTTTGAAGAAAAATTAAAATAACATAAACCCTAAGTTTTTTCTACCTTAATATTTCTTTTTTGAGATAATTACATTTTCAATATATCAACTTTAGTTTTTTTTTTTTAATTGAGTATATTAATTTTTATTTTTTTATTTTAGTATATTAATTTTTTTCAAAATTTTTAATAGAATTTTTTTGTATAACTTACCGTCAATTAATGACGTAGTAATTAACTGGAAAGATGAAATCACTTTTTTGACTTTTTTTTATTCTTTTCATTCTAACAGTCTGTTACAAGTTTTTTCATTTCTCTTTCTTCTTTCTTCCCCTTTCTCCCCTTTCCTTTCTTCCCTTTCCTATTGATTATAGCACAAACATTGAACATTGAATATTGCAAGAAGAGACAGCAAAAGAGCTGTCCAGACACAAACCCTGCAGCACTCACTAGAAAACTGAATACCTAAAATAATCCAAATATAAGCATCAATTTTAAGCAAGTGACAATACAAATATCTCTTACCATCCAGCCCATGCCAGGAAGAGTTTTTGCCCTAAATCATCCCTTCCTTTGGCAAAGTTGTACAGATAAGTGTATATTATGACAGTTGGTTCTGCAATTCCTAATATTAAAAGACGTTGCCCACCAAGTATGGAGTGTATGATCCAAAAATAGCAGTAGAAGCTAATGTTTCTATTATGCTCAAGCTTCCATCTACAAACAGTAGATTGAGAAAGTTTCATTATTTTCCTAGTCCTCAAATACAACCATAGACCTGTGATGAAGACAAAAAAGTGTAGCTAATAGTTCAAAGAGAGTTGGTTAATAAAAAATAGATTTCATTTTAATGATCTATTTTTATACACCAAGTCGCAATATATTAGATTCTGCAATTTATCAGTGTTTGTGCTTCTCAGGATTACCATTTCCTTTCCTGATCTTTCATTTTCTAAATAAAACAAAAGGGAATTAATACAATTTGTACAAATCCGAATATCTACCTTTTATAGGCCTATACTTTTTCTTAAGAAAAGTATTTAGGATAATAACATTGAGAGGAGGGGAAGGAGCAACAACCTGTATCTCTACTAAGTTGCTCGCAGAAGGCAATAACAGGAAGGGATGAAGCGAAGAAGATGTATGTAGTCGATGCTAGTATACCGTCAGAAAAGTTAGAAAGAAAAATGTATATAAATTTCAAAGATAGGATATCAAGATTATGCTACGTACTTAAGTAATAGGATCCAGAAAGAATGCCAGCAACCCAATCTTGTTTATAGCAAGCTGCTCTTGCTTTAACATCGTTCAGGATACCTCTAAATGGAGTTTTAATGTACTCCATGAAATGAAAAAACTTGTAACTGACAGTTAGAGTGAAAAGAAAAAGCAAGGTCAAAAAAATAATTTCGTCTTCTCAGTTAACTCTCACGTTAACGAAAAACTCGATTGAAAATTTTAAAAAAAGTAATATATTAAAATGAAAAAAATAAAAATTAATATATTCGATTGAGAAAAGATCTAAAATTAATGTACTAAAAATACAATTATCCCTTTCTTTTCCCTTATCCTTTCAAAAGGGGAAATTGCAGGGAAAACATTGTAATTGTATCGGAGAATTTACCTTTTTTAAAAAAATAATAATAATAATTTCACCAAATTCTACCAAAAAAAAAAAAAAACTCACTACATTTGTGATTCAAATACATGGTTACCAAATTCAATAATGTGTTTATTAATATTTAAATATGACATCATAATTTTTTTAATTTTCCAACATCACTTGATTCTTATCACAATTAAATTCAAAAATCAAATACGATAAAATTTTTAAGAATTGAATTCAAAACTCTATAAATATCTTGCATATAATTTGAACCTTGATTTATTTTTTTCATTTTCAAGCTTGGTAAAATAACTCTCGTGTTTTTTTTGGTGCTTCTAATGAGATTCATTGCTTCTCAACTATCAAAACAATAGAAAACGTTTCTCATGGAAACAATTATTTTTACTTGCTGCCTAGCTGCTGCAAAGGTACTGGACCCACCCACCACGGGCCGGGGCAAACTATTATGTGAAAATTCCGAATTGGTGATAGGGCTCGAATCAGTTGCTTTACAAGCAGGCCTGAAAATGGGCCTAAACTTTTTGGGCCTTACTCGGTACATATGATGATGTATCAAACGGTATATATTCTTAGTTTCTTACCCATGTTATCCTTGAGAGGTAGTTGCATTTCAATTTTGGGTAAATTTTAATTTGTCCTTGTGAAGTTTATGTGTTTTTCCAATTTCACCTTATTTTTTTATTTTTTTTAATTAGGTTCTATATTTTGTATTTTTGTCTCGATCAACTCCTGCATCTTTTATTTTTATTCCCATTAGCCTCCATAATTTTCACTTTCGTTTCAATTTTCTTCCTCTATACATTTCACCTAATTTTTTTATTTGTTTTAATTAGCTTCTATGTTTTGTATTTTTGTCCCAATCAACTCCTACATCTTTTATTTTTATTCCCATTAGCCTCCATACTTTTCACTTTCGTTTCAATTTTCTTCCTCTATCCATTCATGGTAGATGTATAAATTTCAATTTCATCTAACAAGTTTATAAAATATTTCAATATCATCCAAAAAGTAAAGGAAAAAATAAATTAATTGAAATTGATTAAAAAAAATAGAAAATCAATAAAAAGCAAATTATTTTTTTATTAAAACAAATATGATAAACTTGAGAGGACTAGTTTCTTAACAAAAATCTTAAAATCCTGCCAATTTCAATTCTAACTTAGCAACATCATTTTTTAATTTGCCAATACTATAGTTAAATAAAAATCAACATTCGAATTAATTTAACTCTTTTTTTTAAATTATTTTTTTCACCAAAATCTTCACCATTTTAATTCCTCACAGTTATAATGTTTCATTCTTTATTTAATGTTGTCATCAACTATCATGTTTGATATGTACATAATCACACTCTAAGTAATATCAAAATTATCTCATGCTCAAGTTATTATTCCATCCATGTGAGATTTTAATTTCATCTTTCATAATTTTTGTTTAAGATATTAATGGAAAATTAGAATAAAAAAAGTATAGATACCGTATACCAAGAAGAGAAGATACAAGAAGCAACGACGATAGTAGTTGGTGCTTCTTAATTTAAAAATTATATATATGTATATATATATATACACACACACGGTTAATGGATGTTATTGATGAAAAAAGAAAAGCTTTTTTCTTTTTTTATCGAAAAAAATATATATTTCTTCTATGATCTTTTTTTTTAAAATTTCAATTTTTTATTTTTACATTTTGGGCCATATTGAGAAATTTCATAAATTTTTAATATAAAATTGAAATTTATACAAAGTGAAACAAAAATGAAAAAAATACAAAGTCTAATTGGAACAAATCAAACGTTTGAAGTGAAATTGAGAAAACACACAATCCTTTAAGGTATTGTTTGGTAATCAATAATGGAAATGGTAGGAATGAGAATGAAAATTTTATTCATACCTTATAGTTGTATGGTTGAAAAGAATAAAGTGAAAATGAAAATGAAGTGTGAAAATAAAAATAAAAATTATACACGACTTCATTCTCATTTAAAACGTGGGAATAAAACTAGGAATGAGAATGATTTTTTTTTCAAAATAACAATATATTTTATTTATTTATTATATATTAACTATTTCTACTACCACCGATATTACAATAACCATTACTACCATCACCATAAACACCACAATAATCATCACCGAGCATTATCACCATCATCACTTTTATTATTTTTACAACTATTGTAGTTTAATAAAATTATTTTTTAGTCATTATTTCTATTTGTATAAAAAGTTAGATATTAAAAAATTTAAATTGCATTCGATTTTTCATTAATACTCCAAGCACAATATGAGAATACAAATATTTTTTCGATTTCTTAATTTTTATTCTGATTTCTATATTTATTTTCAGAATCTTTTATTTTTGAGAACCAAAAGACACTTAAGGATAAATTTTCAGCTACTGCTGCATCAAAAAATATTATCAAAATTCCTTTTCTTTTCAAAAAAATAAAACATCACTTTCGTTTCCAATCAGAATTGCATAATACCCCCACCTATCCAGACAGCTAGAAACATTCGGATTTCAGAAGGACAAAAGAGTACTTTCAAAATCCACTTTATAAATTCCAAAATATCATCTGATTGTAGATAAATGAATAAATAAATATAAATATAACTAATACTAAAACACTGATTCTCCTTTCTATATAAATGAACGAATAAATAAAAATAAATAATACTAAAACACTAGAAGAAACCCTCTCGCATTCCCTTCCCTCCTTCCTCCACCCCTCTCTCTAAAATAAAATGGATAATTGAAGATTACTAGAGCTTAATTTATTTTCTGTGTGTGATTGATTGATTGATTAAATTAAATCAAATTAGGTTTTGGATTGGTAATGTCAATGGAGGAAATGTTATCTGAGAATGATGAGCAGAGTATGGTGTCTTCCTTCCTCGAGATCGCTGTTGGCCAAACTGCCGAGACTGCCCGTCAGTTCTTGCAGGTTTTCCATCGTTTCCCTCTCTCCCTTTACTTTTTAGTTTTGAACTGAATCTGTGATTTTTTATTTAGCTTAGCAAGAGTTGGGTTCTGGTTGAGGTTAAAACACTAGTTTTTTAAAGAATGGAGTGGTTTTTGCTGCCATCCATCTTCAGAATTGCAAAAGCATGATTTTTTTGCTCAATGTTTGTTACTTCAATGATTATGAGCTTGTGCTGTCCTACGTTAACAAGAAGTTCGTTTAGTTGTCAAGTTGCCTGCATTGGGGAATTTTATAACCAAATCATTTTAAATCTTGCTGTGGTCAAAATATTAGTGCTGTTGTGGTTTGTGCATATATATATATAAATAAATTTTGGCTGTGAAGTGTTGTTCTTATATTAAACTCGATTGATGATGGAATGTTGGGGTGGAACAGGCCACAAGCTGGAAGCTTGAAGATGCTATTCAGTTGTTCTATGTTGGCAGTGAAGGTGCGGCTGTTGCGTCCGCATCTGCATCTCATCCTCCAAGAACAGAAAGCTGGCCAGATGTACATGAAAGGTATTGTCAGGGGTGTGCTTTATTTTCTGATGTGTTTAGTGATGTAGTTTGATTTTGAATTCGTTGGTTTGGTTTGGTTTCATTTTTCTTTAATGTTGGTTTGGTGGTGACCAATTAATTCAGTGGATTGAAGGACTTGGAAAATGAAAATGTTGGACATAGTGGTGGAGAGGAAGTACGTGCTCCTTTACCTGTTGTGAGGGATACCCTTTATGACGATTCAATGTTATATGGGTATGTTATCTATATATGTCCACATATTGTGTTGCTCTAAACATCTTTTTCTGCACATCTTAATAATTCGGAGCACGTGTTATTTAAATGATACTAAAAGCACTCCCTGCCAACTTCGTCTTCCTGGTTAGTCACTGTTTATTATGCCCCTTGTTAATTATTTTGTCTTGTAATGGCTACTTCCTTTTTGTTCACCTAATCTAGAGCATCAAGGATGGGATTGGGTTACCCACCTCATGAAGCCAGTTCATTGATTGCATTTCGCAACTTTGACGAGGAAATGAAACATCCTGGGGTGTGGGAATCAGACCAGGGTTCTACATCCACAACAGATAACCCTCGAGATAATCTTGCTTCTTTATATCGACCTCCTTTTCATCTGATGTTCCATGGATCATTTGAAAAGGTAAAGTGATTTTCTTTGAGTCTGTTGCTTCATGATTTAAGTGAAATCATTTATCATTCAGTTTTAATGGCTCTAGTTAGCTGTGCTGATTAGGTGTTGCTGTTTGTGTTGAAGCATCAGGACTTTCATCTGATTTTGCTGCAACAAATGCTGCACTTGAAGTGCTTTTTTTTTTTTTTTTCTGTAGCTTGCAATTAAGGGACTTAGAAATTAGATTATAAGTCGTTTTTAAATTTCTTTAGTATTGGACTTAGAAGTTCTTTTATTTTTCTTTATAGGAGTTAGATTTTTGTTTATAGTTTGGAATTTCTTTGAGTTTAAATAGAATCATCATAACAGTTAGATAGGTATCTGAATCCCTACTGATCTCTTTTTAAGTCTTTCTGTTTTTCTACATTTTAAAATTAATTGAAAGAACAATTTAAACCAGAAATTTTAAAAAACTAATCCAAGAAAGAACATTTAGATTTTATTAAAAAAATTTGTCTAATACAAGGGAGAGCTTCACTTCTCTGTGATTTGAACAACTCTATCAACTTGATACACCAAAGTGCAAAGTTTAAGGTATATCACACCAGAACTTTATGCTCACAATGAGTCATCTTTGTAAGTTGGTTCCCTAACTTTATAAAAGTTCTTTGCTTTAACCTTGGTTTGAAAATTTGAATGATTTTTAGAAAACAGTGTTGATTTGACGAATTCTATTTTAAAGAACTTTTGATGGAAGCATGCATTTTTTCTCATCTGCTGTGGTTGATGTGAACAGAAAAAGACTAAGATTTATGTGTTTTATTTAAAATTTAGAATGCAAAGGTATTTTAGTAATCTTCCGGTTTGCTGGAAAATCTGGAAATTGTCTAGGTCTAGGCTTTTTTTTTTCTGTTTGGTATTTTATTTTATTAGTCCTAAAGTTATTAGGTTTTTCTATTCTAAAATAGGAATAGTTGTAGGTTTTCCTATTCTAAAATAGTAATAGTCATTTGGAGGTTTAGGAATCTATGTCCGTATTGGATTTGGACTACTAAAACTCTACAAATAAGTGTGTAGTCTTTCAATATTTGAGTGACAGTTTATGAATAAAATTCCAGCAATTTGCTTTTGATTGTGTGACTCAATCTCCCTCCGGCTTGACTCCTAAGAACCCTAGGTGTGAAGCTTAGGTAACAAGATAACGATTCTTATGCAAGTGTCTTTTACAAAATGGAAAGGGAAGATCTTGTAATTAAGAAAGTGCTGGCTCATATAGATTTTGATACGTTTCCCATAAGTGAGAGGAACTACGAGTACAGGACTATAGGCCCATATGGTAAAAGCAATAGCTTCTGAAAAACTAATCCAAGAAAGAACACTTAGATTTTAGGAATGTTAGCAATTCTTTTTTATGAGAACTTTCTCCAGTTTTCCCCAGATGGTCTATTGCCATCTCTTGAACTGTAGGCCAAGAGGGGGACCTGTTTATAGTGAAGATTGGGTTGGATCAGCCATTGCTCTAGTCGGAGAATGACTAAGTTTTAAGCATTAACAGGTTTGTGCTTGTATGGGTGGGTTCATATGCATTGATATCTTGTGTGATCCTCATTGTTGGCATTAATTTGGCCTTGGCTTCTTGTCTTTCTGGTTCCATATCAATCTTGATGTGCAACCTTAATACATGTGAAAGCTTCATCTGGTATCATTTGCGGTTTTACTATTTGACTTATTTGATTGAAAATTCTGTCATTTTGAAATTCAGGCAAAAGGTGCTGCTTCTGTTCAGGACAAATGGCTTCTAGTAAACTTGCAATCCACAAAGGAGTTCAGCTCACATATGGTAGCTTTTGAGTAATTCTGCAACGTACATAAGAAATGTTCCATTATGTTTAACGTTGAATCTTGCTTTTAATGCTGTAAATATTGTCCTATGAAGTTAAATCGGGATACATGGGCAAATGAAGCTGTTGCTCAAACAATCAGTACCAATTTTATCTTTTGGCAGGTGAGGCTTTAATGGGCTCAAGTGCCTAAAAAATTTTCTTGCTCAGTGCTATGAAATCTTCCCAATGTGTACTCACAATAACATTCATTAAAAAAATGAACGAAATTGATTTAAAAAGTCGACTATATCCTTTGATGTCCCTGGCTATACAAGTTAGAAAAGACATATCATCCAACTTATTATATTCTATTGATTGGATTTACACTGCCTTATTGATTTTTTTGACTTCCCTCCTTTCTCTCTCTCTCTGTTTGTGTCTTTTGAGCTTTGAGCAGTTAGACTATTGGGAGGAAGGGACGTGAGGGCAAACTATTCCTTGAGCAGATCCTGTTAGAAGGGAAAAATTATCAATTAAATTGATCCAAGGACCAGAAAATGGAAAAGAAGCCTGTTCTCATGTTATTAATCTGATATTTGATCTTGTCAGGATATATGAATTCTTCGGAATCATTAAAAGATTAAGTTGATGACTTCATAAATCAAACCTAATTTCATTCCTGACATCTTGAAATTATGCGAAGTTTAAAATTCACCACTCTGATTATTATGGCTGGTTAAGGTAGGACTGTTTAACAGATGATGATCCTTATATTCGCTGCTTCTCGAAATAATATTTGATTAATGAAAGGATTCAGAAAAGGAAAGATATCTAGTGATGAATGTAGAAACAGAACAATGGAGTTTTTTGAATGAAGTACTTGCTGAGACCACTAATGTCTCATGTATGTGCATTGCAATAGGTACTAATCTGCTGTTTTCTCCAGTTACAGTCTATGGTGATGTGTTGGAGCAGTTTTTGGGAATATAAAGCAGTTTTTTCTCTATTAATGTCTAGATTCATATTTAGCACTCACCTTCATCTTTTTTTTTATATGGTTTATGGACATAGGTATATGACGATACAAGTGAGGGGCGGAAAGTTTGCACTTATTACAAATTGGATTCTATACCAGTAGTCCTTGTAATCGACCCAATCACAGGACAAAAGATGCACTCATGGGTTGGAATGGTACAGCCTGAGAGTTTGCTAGAGGTGTGCTCTTTGTGTGTATTTCTCTGCTCTGTCATGTAGAAAAATTGTTGATGGAAGAGGGGAGCATTGTATGTTTAAATTTAATCCAAATTTCATTTTGTTGCTCTGCTAATATAAGAGAACATATGTTCAACCTTATAGGATCTAGTACCATTCATGGATGGCGGCCCAAGGGATCATCACAAAACCCTATCCCATAAACGTCAAAGGGGCAGTTCTCTGACTCCACCGAAAAGCAAAGGTCAGTTATGCATGCTATGTTCTTGAATATGTGATGATAAATTAGTTGAAATTGGAGAATTGTAGATGAATTATCTTATACATGAAAACTAATTCTTGTACCATCCATCGTGTTCCATTTCCAAGATGTTGATAAATCTTAGTATTCAACCACAAAGTCCTGGGTGCTGTAACTTTTGCGATACTTGTTGAATGACCAATTGTAGTGGTATTTGGTGATAACAAGCTATGGTGGGGGTGATTAGATGTGAGTTATAATCTATTTTCATGGCATGTGATATAAAAAACAAAGATGTTTGGGATAGAGTGTATAACTAAGTTCAATGTTTTTGTAAAAAGGAACCTTCTCTCATAAAATGGTATTTTGCATAGTCAAAATTTGTATTTGAGAGTTCAGGCTGTACGAGTGCTTCTTGGTCTGGTTGTTCACATTTTGAATTTTGTTGCTAATGACCCAAATGCAGTGGATGGATTTTTATTTTTATTTTTTTTTTACATTCTGCTACAAGTTACACATATGTTTCTATATTCCACTGGATTTTTCTCAAAAAGATGCATTTTATGCAGTTCAATCTTGGTGCTTCAGTTGAATGTGTGCGAAAATATTAAAGGTTCCCACTGCGTCACCTTTGGATTGTCATTTCTTGAATGTAACTGTCCTTCATATAAGCTTTCAGGATGGAAGTTGTAATACATGTCTAGGCAATCCGATGGAGTTATGTATGCGAGAATATCTATTAGTAGGAATTTATGATAACCTAACATTTAGTGTAAATTCATTTTAAAACTTCCAATTTATTTCTGACCAAAAAACACAGATTCTACTAATTTTAAGTTTGAGGAGAAATGAGTTTTCATCTGTTATTTCTTTTATGCATTTATTTAATATAAGATTCTAATTCTTTCTTCTATCTGCAAATGTTATGGGGCATGTATGAGTGCATGCGTTTGTGTGTGTATTGTGTGCTTGTTTCTCTATTAGGGCAGGTGTTGGGAGGTGTGCTGCTGTGGGTGTGGTGTGATCCTTTGTGCTATGCATGAAGTTTGGTTCATTGTGTATGACTCTCTGCTTATAACTATCCAAAATTTTCAGCTCTAGTGTCTGCTTATGAAACTAGTGAAGAAGATGAGGAAGTGCTACAGGCATTAGCTGCTTCTATGGAGAGCATGAAAGACTCCAGTGCGATTGCTTCCAATAATAATGAGGCTAGCACTGCTAAAGAGGAAGAAAAATGTTCAACTAGGATGCCAACATATCCACCTCTGCCTGAAGAACCCAGCGGCGATAAGAGTCTCCTTTGCAGGGTTGGAATTCGTCTTCCTGATGGACGCAGAGTCCAGAGAAATTTCCTGAAAACTGATCCAATACAGGTGAAACCTTATTTTATTTGTGTTTTGGAGACCCATGCTCGCATAGTGTTGTACCCTCTTCTCTTTGTATTTGTTATCCAGTCTTATTCATATGCTTAGTTCCTCTATTTCAGGTGCATAATCAACTTTAATAGATACTAAATGTAGCAGTTTGTCTAACAAAATCAATTCTTGCCAAAAGCTTTGTCATAGTGCAAAATTGTTTGCAATTAACATATTCTTGATTAGACATATAGAACAAACCTAGTTGTCTTTATTATTATGAATCACAAGTACATGGAAATGGAGTATTTTGGTTGGTTAGACCAGCGTATTGCATTGAACTGGTCAGGCCTTCAGTTAGACTAAGGAACCCAGTTAAACTCATTTGACTTGACTGGGTTTGTTATGACCAGGCACGAACCTAGCAAAACTTGATGGGTATACAGTAGGCTCAAAACAAAGATGAAAACAAGGTCTGCCATTCTTCACCTTTTGGGGGTGGATTTATCTGGTGTGTGCCATGTACTAGAAGCAAATCGTTTAGATGGCACTTGTGCTTCTGTCTGTGTTTTGCTTCAAAGTGACATATATTTGCTCTCAACTCTCAAACTTGCTGTGTGGCTGATAATTGAAGCTTTTGCAAGTACAAAATTGAAAACAGAGGATTAGTTAACTTGCCCTGATGATCATTCAACAAGGGCTCCACTATTTCAGTGCATGACCTAGTTGAAAGGGTATTTATTTATTTGTTTATTAATTCCAATTCTTTTTTCCCATGATGAGTGGCACAATTGAAATGATTGGTTATTGTTTTTCTTTATTTTATTTAATGGTCAGGATGGTCTTCGTTTCAGCTTTGTCCATTGTAGAAGGAAAGCCCCTATTATTTGACTGTCCTCCCTTTTATCTATGTCAATTCGATTGGAGTGCCTTTTGTCAAAATATTAATGCTTTCTCTTGGGTTTTATCAATCTCATGCTTTAGTCAGGGTTCCTAACTTTCAATAACTATGTATGCTATTTTGTTATGTGCTTGAATCTTTAGCTATTGATCCTATTCTATGGATCATTGTTTGTATCTTCTCATATCTGTCCGCACTCCTTTCTCTGCTGCTTGTTTGTTTTGTTTTTCCTCCTTTTTAGTTAAAATCTTTCCACTGGTTGAATCACCAGCCTGATGATCCAGTTTCTTGACTGTTTCAGTTTTAGTGTCTGATAATCATACTCCTTTGTAATTGATTCAGCTTATATTGGACCATTTCAGGATTTTTTTTCCTGTTTCCCATTTTCTATTTGAGATATCCATGCATTATGTTTAGCTCTTCTGCAATTATAAAAAAGAATGAAACCATACAATATTTGCCTTTGACTGCAGATATATGTTGTCTCAGTCCATTACTGGAGAACGATAAAGCAAGCCTGCCTTATCCTTAAAATTTTCTGTGTGTGGGAGGGTGGTGAAGATGTGTGGGAGGATTTATTTTATGATGGGTGCTTGTTCCACTGTGCTCTTAAGATGTTTGTGCTGTGGTTTAATGGAGGGATTTATCATGTTGTTTTCGAAATGTAATGCATAAGTTTCTGAGTTGGGGTTTTCTCATTGTTCAGCTGCTATGGTCATTCTGCTATTCTCAGCTAGAAGAAGCTGCGACAAAGCTGTTTCGTTTGACAGAGGCAATTCCAGGAGCAAAGAGTCTGGATTATGATATTAAAATGACCTTTGGGGAGTCAGGGTTGGCCAACTCTATGATCTCGGTTGCTTGGGAGTGAAATCAAACTTGAACGCCTTGGCCTCTTGCTTTCAAGACTTTTGGTTGGAAGTTTCATACATCTTTGTTCCCTTTTGCTTGCTCTGTCTGGAAAGTTGTCCAATGGAGCCATCAAGTCCTATTGAGCTTTTTTTACTGTGTACATACAGATATGTATGAGACAAGAGTTTACAATTTATGTAATGCGACTGCTGCTGTTGTGGCTTGTGCGGAAAGATAATTTAATACTTAACGGGAAAGATGCAATTCAATGCACGATTATTGAAGCTGAGGCAGGGGGGGGGGGAAAGAAACACAAACCAGGGAGAGAAGACACTTTTGAATCTTCTTTTTATCCTGTGGGGACAGATTTGAGTTACCAAACGTCAGCTCATTGAGGGAAACAAAATCATTATCTTGTTCATGTTAGCACCTATCATCGTGCGGGAAACCAAAATGCTTTGAGTTGCAAATTAACATCAAAGGTTTTTTTGGAATTAAATACTCCATCAATTAATTTTAAGAGGATAATAACTCAAAATAGAGGGAAAGGAATGTACTGATGCTAAATTTGGGATAAAATAAAATGATTATTTTACCATTCTTCATATTATTTTAATTTTGTATGATATTTTATTTCTTTTAAGATATTTTTAGATTTTATTTATGATATTTTATTTCTTTTAAGATATATTTTGTATTGTTTTAAAAGATTATAAAAAATTAAAGATTAAAAATTAAATTTCAGCAAGTTTAAATAAATATTCAACTTTTGTTCTTTAATTGATTAATTAGATATAACTATTTCATTACGCTAAGATTGAAAACTGAGCAACCAAAGAGAAAGGGTAAATATAAATATATGTCTTTATATAATACGTAAAGTCTTTTATCTATTTTTAGATTTTCTATTACATCTTATTTGCTTTTGAAATATTCAATGTCTTTTCGATTAATTTTTCAACCATAAAATTTTTTTTAACTGAAATGTAAAAAAAAGTTTAAAGTCACATGATCTATATGTTTCATTTTTTAAGTCTTTAGAATTTTTATTTTTATTTTTTATTTTTTTATTTTTTTGCTTTTCAATTAGAGGGCATTTTGATAACACACACACACACACACACATATATATATATATTTGGCTGAAAAAATAGATTGAATATTTCAAATACTTTCAGAAACAAATGGAATGCAATTAGAAAGCTATGAACACATGAAAGACTTTAAATATTATTATAAAGGCAGATAAATATATTTGCTCAAAGAAAAAAATAAATTAACAGTTACATGCATTATATCTCATTGTTATTCCGGTAAGTAAAATTAACTAGTTCATGGCTAAGAGGATCTACCCATCCTTAAACTTTAAGTTATATAAGGTTGAGTCCTTCAATTTTTTTTATTGGTTTTGGAATCTCTAAACTTTTAATTTTTTGAGATTTAATCCATCCAATGATTTTTCAGCTATCTTCTTCTCTAAAAAATCCAATTCTTGATATTTTAAGTTGAAATTTTGCATGCATTTGGAAAAAAATCAATCCATTTTGTAAAAAATTTCCAAAATTTTTCAAAATCATAAACTATATTTGTTTATTTTTTAACATTAAAAATATAAAAAACAGAAAAATAGAAAATAACCCCGAAATAATTTTAAATTTTTTTAAAAGTCCCATGTAAATCTCACTGAATGATTTTCATTACGAAATTATTTATGAAATTGTTATTTTTTAAGGCAAATAATAGAAAAATGTATGATGGGCTAAATCTAAAAAAATTAAAAGTTCAAGAATCCTTAAAACTAATAAAAAATTAAGAGACTCAACTTCAAATGACTTAAAATTTAGAAGTGATTAAACTTTTTTAGCCTTAGTTCATTATGCGTGTTGGAGAATGAAAAAAAGAAGAAAAACCAAAACATGTACTTTTTGGAGGTTTTTTTTTTTTTTTTTCCATAATAAGACGCTTTTAAATCTTATTTACCATAATATGATAGTTTTAAACTTATTTATCAAAATAAGATATTCTATGCCATAAAAGAACCATATCATTTATATAACTTGACATGTCAGCTTTTTTTTAAAAAAATCGTTTTGTTAAATAAATGTTTTATCATCACATATTAATCTCATATTTTTTACTATTTTCTTTTTGCTTTAGTTTGTTCTTCTTTTTAATCTTTTCTTATGTTTGTCTATCTTTTCTCCTACATAATGATTTAAAATGAATTTTATAAATTTTTTTATTTGCCCAAAGTTTCTGTCGTGAATTTCAGTATCATCCCTTCTATTTATTAATTAACAAATACTCCCTAATAATGTTTCCAGCATAAATTTGCAACTGACAGTAGTTTTAAATATTCCAGCTGCACCTTGTACAAGTACGGAGAAGTAGATAATATTGGTCATCAACCTTAATTTCTTTGATGTGGGTTTATCTTGAACCATGTTGTACAATGAAATCTCAAATGGTTTTATCTTGAATTGTTAAACCAAGCAATGAGATCACTAAGTTTGTTAACTCCAGACTTATGAAGAGAATCAACCATGTTGTTAGCTTTTTATAGGACTAAGGCTCTGGACCAAACAAACACTAGCCGAGGCCTCTGTGTTTTGTCAAGAAACGATCTTATTTTTTATTTTTCAAACATAGATGGTGGAACCAATATTTTCTGAAGAGAAAGGAAAAACTTCAAGGTTTCAAGCTTGCTTTCTCCTTTTTTTGGTTGTAGCCCTACCAAACCAACTTATTTAATTTAAGCAGAATGAGGTCATGTTGTATGCAATAACAATCTAATATTATTTTGTACTTGTGCTCGACTTTGTAAGCTAATTCATTAGTTGGACAATCTATCTCATATTTCCAGTGGCTATAAAGAAATAAGCTTTAACCAAAAAGATGAAAAAATAGGTTTTGGTGGCAGCTCCTAAACCTAAAATGATGAAAGCTTTTTTATTTTTTTTCTTTTAAGAAGAGTGGTCTTAGCATTTTTACTTTTTTTTTAATTAATGAAATACCTAAAATAAAGATGCAACTATTTAATATAATGAAATTATTTTTTAAAAATTAAGAAAAAAAAATATGGATGAAAAAATCTCATGTGACAACAAAGTGCCTTTATTTGAGAATTGAGTTTTAAAACATCCCAGTTAAAAAATAAAGATTCAGAATAAAGATTTAAAAGTGTATTGGTAATACATTTTGTCACCTACCTATTGCCCTAAAAATTTGTGCATATTATATATATAAAACAAGTGTAATCAATTGCAACCATTTGGCTTTAAACATCCAGTCCAGCATCCCTCATTGCATTCGTAGCAGATCTATAAAGCCTCTCATCTATTGGGGTTCCTTCAGATTTCATGTCCCTTAAAAGCTTCACCAACTCATCAATCCGACTAATTTTAGAGAGAACACCAACCATAATTCCTGCAATAGCCCCATCAATCACACCCCCATTAATTCTGTACTCATGGTAATACCTCACACACATCTCATACTCCTTGGACTTGTTATAAGCACTTATAACACTAGTATAAGTCACTTTATCTGGTGCCACTTTCCTTCTCTTCATTTCCCTCCACAGCTTCTCCACCTGCCTTAAATTCCTGGCTCTTCCATGCATGTCCAACAAAGAATTGTATATCCACACATTTGGTTCACAACCTTTTAGTTTCATCTTTGCTACGAGCCTCATTGCATCTCTTGGCCTACCTGTTTTCCCATACATTGAGATTATGCTAGAGTATGCCACAACACATTTGTCAAACCCCTTTTCTTCCATCTCATGAAACACCATTTCAGCTTTAGAATAAAGCCCAACTCGGCAATAGGCATTTATTACAGAAGCATATGTCACTTGTCCTGGTTCACAGCCATCGTCTTTCAACTCCTCATAAACCTTAACAGCTGCATGGAACCCTCTCCTTTTTGAAAAGCCATTGACAATTGCACAGAAAATGCAATCAGACACCTTCAGTTTAGCAGTACCCTTCATTCCCTTAACAATCTCAATCGTCTTCTCTATTTCCCCTTTTTCTATATACATCAAAACAAGCCTTAAAAATATTTCAGGATCCCTTAACATTCTCTTCCCTTGAGCTTCTTTAAACAGCTCCTCAGCTATCTTGACTTCTCGAATATTTGCAAATGAACAGATTAAGGAAGAGTATATTGAAGAGTCCTCCAAAATCCCTTTCTTTCTGATGTCTCTAAAGTATTCAAGAGCTTGAAAAGCTTGGCCTGATCTCCCCAATGATACGCATAGTATCTTGTATATTTGACTTAAGATCATTGGTTTTGGATCTAATTTTCTACTTTCAAACTCATTGAACAATGCAACAACTCTCTCTGCATCACCTAATTTATAATATGCCTTCATTATCTGACAATAACACCTAGAATCCAAAGGAATGCCTGCTAATTTCATCTTTTCGTGTACAGAAATTGTGCTTCCATACATATGTAGCTTATTATACCCTTTCATTGCTGAATCAAAAGCCAAAACAGCAAATTTACAATCAGATTTAAAGATTTCAAGTAAATTCTCTACAATCTTGAATTTTCTAGCTCTAATGCAACAACTAACCAGATTTGAAAAAGTAAAACCATCTGGCAACACATTGTACTTTTTAAAATCATCAGCCAGTGACAAAACCAAACCCCACCTCTCTGATTGTATCAAGTACCTTATTAGAAGCTTTAGCATTGGTCTTTCTGGCCTAAATTCTCGCCTTTCTTTTGCTTTCTTGTAGTACTCGTATGCTAGTTCTTCAGTCTTTTGATCTAGCAGGACCCCACATAAAAAATCATTCAACTTCTCTGCATGATCTGGAATTGGAAGGTGTTGAGGATCTTCAAGTCTCAAGTCCAGTTGGATGACAGGAAAATCTGTGGATTGCTCTTCTTCTAGAATAGGGGATGAACAACCTGAAGAACTCACGTGAAGAACAGGAAGACTGAAGCATGGGAGAGGGAGAAAGTGAAGGTTTTTGCATGTTTGAGTGAAGATAATACTGTGGGGCTTTCTGCAAGAGTTAATGGAAGGTACTGACCAATCTGGAGAACTTGAAATGGCCATTGGAAATGTGATTTCAGAGATTTTGGACTGTCGAGGGCCATGTAAAATTAAAAAGTTAGATGCTGCATTTGACACGCACGTTATCTTCCGATGGATTTTTTTCGTCTTTGTCCGGATCGTATGAGCGACTAAAGACATGACACGTGGAATATTTGCGGACATAAGGATAACGTGCTCTGAAAATATCCACGTCGGGGAAGTCCAAATTGAAGTTTACTTTCTTTTAGTACTTGCAATGCCACCTCTATGCTTGGATCCTCGGATTCTTGAACTCCCATTGTTTCTTAAGTAAGTAAAATTTGAGTAATTTTACTAATATCAATATCTTTTGCATATTCATGTTAATCATTTCCAATTTTTAACTTTTCTTTTCTCTCATCCATTTCTCTTTCTCTCAATAAAACACCTCCTCTCATAAATCCTAATTTAGATTGTCTTCGGCAATCCTTTTTTTTTTATTTGTTCTTTTTCTTGTTTTCTTTGATATGAACGAAAAAAATTTCCTTATATTTTTGTTTATTTTTCACCGTCAGGCCTAATATTTACATATCTGATTTGTCGGTATAATTATTTACTTGAATGAGAGTTTTTTGTTTCTAGATTTAGAAGATTAGATTTTTTAGATTAAAGTTTTGAAATTCTATTTATTCTTTAAAAACGATTGACATCGACATTTTTAAAAAATTTAAATCTTACATTAATAAAATTTGATAATGCGAATGTTTTTTTGTTGATCTATATTAGCATAAGATTATTTTGCATGTATGATTTGAAAGAAAAAAAGTTCTATTTTAGAAAATCCTGATTTGAGAATTTTAGCAATTTCTTTTTTTGTGCATGAAAGGACCAAATATTACGTAGAAGATGATGATTTACCAAAATGATGAACATTTTGTCGTATCCTTGTATAATTCGTCAAGTCTCCAAAGCATCCTTGTGTTTCTAACTGTATCATTATATTCCTGTATAATATATAATTCTCCAATATGTCATTTAATCAAAATTTTTTAACCCAAATTAAAATAATTATTTTTTTATTCTAAAACTATCATTGAGATATACAAGAATATATGTAGTGTCACGCACTCGGATCCATACATGATGACACTATAAATGGAAGGACGCTACACAAAATACATAGCTCAACTTGAAGTATAAGTAAAAAAATAAATAAAAATAAAAATTCTTAACCTATAATTAAATCTAACTCCAATAAAATCCAAATATAACAACTAAAGTCCTACCATTTTATCATATGAATTATAACTTAATATACTTAATATGAAATCTCAATTTTCTTTTTTAACACGTATCATAACTAATCATATTTACTAAAATATAAAACTATATATATGTTAGAACTTTAAATATAACATTAAAATCAAGTGGCCAATTAGCAAAAGATCATAAAGCTTACATAAAAATTTTCAAGTCCCCACTTAAAACTAAGAATGTCAAAAGGACAAAAGTCTAATCTTTTCATAGAAATATGCTCAAGGCACACCAACCGCAACTCGCAACGATTAAGAAAGCTTCGTGAGCTAAAGGCTTTTTACCTACTTTATAAGATAAAACATGAGCTAACGACTAATAAATATGGTCATGCATGACTTTTTAAAACTTTCATAATGTGTGTGAATATATCTTTTCTTAATGCAAGTACCCCACTAAACGTTATTTTAAGTCTTTTTTTCTTTATCAACACTATGCCTTTACCAAACTTTGCCTTTACCGAGTTGCTTTTACAAGAACCTTGTATAACATGATTTCAATGCATTTCATGAAATATATAAATCTATACTCGTAATGTAAACACACATAAAAATACACTTAAAGACTCATTTAATCATATAATACATCCATGCATATAGTCATTGTAGTGAGTCAAACCATGTTTGTCTTAGTTTTTTTGCAATTTAACAAAATTATCTTTCTCAAGCAATTTAATTTCTACTATTAAAAAAATTCATAATAAATCTTTTATTTAAACCAATAAACTCATAAATAAACTCCTTACTCAACAATTAACCAATAAAACTTAAAATTCATATTTTACTATTCATCAACTTCAATCTTTTCAAAATATTTTATCATCACAAAAGCACTTTCATAAACCACTTTTTCAACCTTTCCAAAATATTTTATCATTACAAAAATAGTTTCATAAACCACATATTGAATTTTCAGCTCAATCTAAGCTTTATAACACCTTACATATATAAAATCTCAATTTAATACATTAAATCTTAAAATAATTTATATAATGAAATTTAACCAGCTAAACTAAAATTATATTCATAAATCATTGATCCAAGACAATTAATCATAATCCAACTAATTAAAATCACTTACATTATATTTTTCTCAAATGAATCTCAAAACCCTAATTTCATCAATTTTAGCTTAAATGACAAATCCATCATAATCCAACCTCATAATCATCAATATCCATCTAAGAATACATCAAATAACCAAAATATAATGGTAGAAACCATACTTTTTTTTGTGGGTTCGAATTTCAAACTTAAGAACACCAACTCTTCAAGCTTCAATCTTGTTTAATATCAACTTGGATCATCAAAAACTAACATAACCTAATGTGTTTTTTTTTATTTTTTATTTATGGTGGAGTAAATTAGAAATAGAGGAGAGATAGTGGAGATGAAGTGAGAGGGTCAAGGTTTGAGAAAAAGAGCAAAAGAAATGAAGAAAGGTAAGAAAATGACTAAATTAGTCATTTTCTAGCCTTTAAAACAAAGAACTATTTCTCTCTCTCTCTCTCTCTCTCTCTCTCTCTCTAAACACATTAATCCACCTTAAAACTCACTTCAACCTCACTTATACACTTATATTCAAGACTAAAAAATTCTATGACTTTGATCAATCTCACTTAATAAATTTAATCAAACTTAACTAACTTCAATTTTCTCATTTTTTTAATCTCAAAACATATTTAATCTAAAATACCTCACATAATAAAAATAATTTAAAAGATATCAATCACATGTATAAAATAAGAATGAAATTAAGACACACCTATAAGTATACATACGTATATTATGAAGAAAAAATTCCTAGTGTTACAATCCTCTCCTCCTTATAACAACTTCATCTTTGAAATGTACTTATCAAAAGGCTCAGACACTTAGTTCTTATCTTTTCTTTCATTTCTCATGTACATTCTTTTACATGATGATTCTTCCACTATACATTTTCAAAAGTAATCTTTTTAGTCCTTAGCTTTTTAACCTCTCAATCCAAAATCTCAACTAGCCTTTCTTCATAGGTAAAATCATGCACCAACTCCAAAGGTTTAAAACTCAACGCATGACTTAGATACTCAAAGTACTTTCTTAACATAGACACGTGGAACACATTATGAACTCGTCTAAAAATAAAGAAAGGACTAATCGATAAGCTATATCTCTAACTCAATTTAAAATCTCAAATGGTCCAATAAAGCTTGGGCTTAATTTTTCTTTCTTTCCAAACCTCATAACTCCTTTCATTGGTGCGACTTTTAGTGTCAAACTTCTCAAACTTCAAATCATTCATTCTCTTATTAGCATAACTTTTCTCGCCTATTTTACACTATCTTAATCCTCAATCAAATCTTCTCCACCACATCTGCTATTTGTTGAACCAACCTCGGACCCCAACATCTTTTTTTCACTAACTTCATTCTAATGAACATACGACTTATACTTTTTTTTCCATGCAACCATGGTGGCATCCCAATGCTAACTTCATAACTATTGTTATAGGTAAACTCCATCAAAAGAAAATACTTCTCCCACTTAGCAAACTAATCCAACGACATAGGCTCTCAATATATCTTCTAAAATTGGTTCACTCTCTCTGCCTATCCCTTTATAGATGAAATACTATGTTGAAATCCAATCCGATTCCTATTATCTAATGCGGACAGTTCCAAAAATTTAAAATGAACCTAGAATCGTGATCCGACAATTGATACTAGAATTTTATGCAATCTTAATAGCTTTTTAATGTATAACTCAACATACCGAGTCATGGTAAAAGTAGTGTTCACTACTAAAAAATATGCCAACTTAATCAATCTATCCATAGTCATTCAAATTGCATTTGATTCTCTTTCTAACCTTAGTAACCCAATCATAAAATCTCCGGTAATGTGCTTTTATTTTCACTCGGTATTGTTAAAAGTCTCAATAAATCGATGGCCTTTGATGTTTTGTTTTTACCTATTAATATGTCAAACACTTATAATCAGCTTTGGCAAGATATTTCTTCATCACTTTTCACTAATAAATAGGCTTTAATTCTTTATATATCTTTATACTTTTTGGATGTATTGAAAAACATAGCATCGAGCCTCTCTTAAAATCTCTTCTTTCAAATTCTTAATTACAAAAATGCATAACCTATCTCGATATGTCAAAACTCCCTCATTATCTACCATAAAGTCAAGCTTCTTTTTTTCTTTTACTTCTTTTGACACTTTGGTCAAATCATCATCCGTAAATTGTCCTTCATTAACCTTTTGCCTTCGATTAGGTTCCATCATGAAAGTGAATAATTTACCATCATCACTTTTTGTCACCATTTTTAGCTTAAGCTTCTCTAAGTCTCTCAAAATTCTTAGTTGTACCACTTGTAAAATCGATCAAGATTTCTAACTTAAAACATTAATAGCTACATTAGCTTTACTATGATGGTAATGAAGAACAAGATCATAGTCCTCGAATACCTCGAGCCACCTTTTTTGCCTTATATTCAACTTTTTTTAGTAAAGAAATACTTGAGATTCTTATGATCGGTGTAGATCTCGTACCTAACTCCATATAAGTAATGTCTTTAAATTTTCAATATAAAAACTACGATAGTTAACTCTTAATCGTGAATGGGATAATTTTTCTCATAATCCTTTAGATACCTTGAAGCATAGGCTATCATTTTTTTTTAATTAACAATGCTCCAAACTCTATTGTTGATGCATTGGTACGGATTACAAAATTCCAATTATTCGATAAAAGAGCCAAAATCAAAGTCATCATTAATTTAAACTTTAACTCTTAAAAATTATTCTCATATTCATCATCTCATTTAAACTTTAAATTCTTTCTTATCAACTTAGAGAGTGGAGTGGATAACTTTGAGAATCCCTTCATAAACCTTCAATAGTAATCGATTATACCAAGATCCACCATGATTCCATTAGTAACCACATGACCGTGGAAAGCCACTTGTTCTAGCTAAAAAACAAACCTTATGAACTTTGGGCAAACTTATGCTCTCTCAAAGTCGTCAGAATTTATTTTTAAATGCTTTGCATATTCGTTCTTACTCTTGGAATAGATCCAAATGTTATCGATGCAAATAATAATGATTCTATCTAAGTACTCATGAAACACTCTATTTATCAAATCTATAAAAATTACAAGAGCATTGGTCAATCCATACAAGCATCACCAAAAACTTATATTGTGTATACCGAGTCTTAAATATCATCTTCTTCATATTTTTCTCCTTGATTCTCAATTGATAATATCCCGATTGTAAATTGATCTTAGAAAAACCGAAGCTCCTTTTAATTGATTAAATAGATCTTCAAAATATGGAAGTAGATAATTATTCTTAATAGTAACCGAGTTTAAACTTCCATAGTCGATACATAACCTCAAGGTCCTATCCTCTTTTTCACAAATAACACTAAGGCTCCCCAAGGTAAATAACTAGGGTGGATAAATCCTTTATCTAATAACTCTTACAAATGTACCTTTAATTTAACATGTGTTATTATGTAAGAAGCCTTAGAAATTGGAGCAATTCTAGGCTTAAGCTCTATCTTGAACTCCACTCCTCTCTTTGGTGGCAAGCCCGACAAACTTAAAAAAAAAACATTAAGGAATTCCTTCACCAGTTAAATATCCTTGGCTTATACCTTAAAACTCTTTCATAGTATCCTTAGCATTTACCAAGTATCCAATACGACTACCTTTCACCATCTTCCATGTTTTCATTAGTTAAATGGTGAAAACCAACTTTACTTCATTATTCATCCATAATTTGAATGGTTGTTCTTTAGGTGGTTGAAAAGTCATTTTTTTTTCAAGACAATTAATTATAGCACCCTACTTTGACAAATAATTCATTTTCAAAATTACATCAAAATATCGTATACTCAAAACCACTAAATCAATCCTCAAAGTCTTGTCACTAATTAACAACTTATAATTCTTAATTAGATCATTCGATTCCATCACCTTCTTCGAAGGCGAGTTATCTCATATATCGATTCAAGCAATTTGGGTTCAATCTCCAAGTTTCTTAACAAAGATGTAGATATAAATGAATGAATTATACTAGAATCAACTAATATATAAATAACAAGTCCCTAAATAAGTACATTACCATATATAATTGTCACCTTCTCTTTACTAGCTTGCTCTTAAGTCATAGTATACGCCCTCTTAGCTACTCTCCGATCGAACTCTTATCTCTTTGGATACTTTGTCGCAACATGACCTTTCGCCTCGCATCGAAAAAAATATTGGTACCCTTCAAGCACTCTCTAAGATACCTTAGTCTACACTTGGTGCAAGCCAACCTCTTTTAAGTCCTCACTCGCCACAGTTTTCTCAGCGAGCTTGACCCTCTTTGTACTACTTGATTTCGATCTCGAAAACTAATTCCTCGTTCCCTTGCCTTTTAAACTTAGGCATGAAACTTAGCTTAGTTTCCAATCTCTTTGCTTGCAACTCTTTAACAATCTCATTCTAATCCTTCTTAACCATCAATGTTTTTCCCATCATATCACTATAAGTTATGGCTAAAGACATCCTTATCATACTCTTTACTCTAGGATGGAGCCCTTATAGAAAAAAGATCCTTTTTCAAGTTATATTTGTAGAAATAAAGCGAATAAACGAGACAATCCTACTAAAATCATCTCAATTCATTTCATTTTTTATTTTTTTCTTTCCCTCCTCCTTTTGAGGCAAATGAATCGAGATAACATTGAGAGTTGCCATCTTATAAATTTTATCATACTCAAAAAGTAATTATTATAAATTATTTTATAAAGAAAAATAGACATAAAAAAAATAACAAAAAATTGAGCTAATATAGAGATCTTTTTATCACTTTTAATAAATACAAATGTAATTTTTTATATGTTTATATCATTTTTTAAAATAAAAAAATATATTTATTATAATTATTTCTTAAATATTATAAAATTTTTCGTTCGCATACTAAAACAACACACATACATGATTGCTGTATAGCACGCATGCAAACCTTAAATTAATTTGGGCTGGACGCGTCTTGTCCATCGAAGTCCAACCCAATTTCATTAGCAAAGTCATTCGCCGCACAAGCCCACCTATACTTTTCACATCCGTCGAGTGTGTCCTGGCTAAATCGCTATGAACTATCTCTCTGCTACTGATGGGCAGCCATTTCTTGGACAGTCTAATCGGGTTAGAGGCATCTCCACCGCTGTTTTCACCTTTTGGCATTTCTATTTCAATTTCCCATTCAAAGTCCTGAAGAAGTTTTTTTGGGAAATCGAAGAAGGAAATAAAGGTTTGCAATGATTCTTCTTCTTTTTTCTTGTTCTCTCGTAATCTAAACACTTTACAAAATCTCATAGGAAAAAATGAGGAGATTTATTGCATATTTATCTGCTTTCAAAAGAGAACAACATTCATTCTCTTTCAATAGAAATGTTAGGCCTTCACTTTCTCTTAGTCCAAGAACCTTAAATCTGCCCATCTCATCATTTCCCTTTACTTTTTTGCCCACTACTGTTATTCCTATGCACTTATATTGCTCTCAAGTTGCCTCATTAGAACAGACATTTGAGAATAGTGGTAGAAGAAATCGTGTTAGAGAGTGTGATATTGATAAAGTTTGTGAAACTATAATGGGCAGCTCTAGGTTTTCGAATTGTAATCATGATAATCATAATATGGAGAAAGCCCTTGACCAACTTGGGTTAGAGCTTACTACTGACTTGATCCTTGGAGTTCTCGATAGGCTTCATTTCGAGGAAAAGATTGCATTTAGATTCTTCATGTGGGCAGGGCATCAAGAGAATTACTCTCACGAGCCTCGTGCTTATAACGAAATGATAGATATTTTGACTAGTACTAAATATAAGACGAAGCAGTTTCGAATAGTCTGTGATATGCTCGATCACATGAAGAGGAGTAACAAGAATGTAGTTCCTGTTGAAGTTTTGTTGACCATTTTGAGGAATTATACGGAGAAGTATCTGACCTGTGTTCAGAAATTCGCCAAAAAGAAGAGGATAAGGGTGAAGACGCAGCCAGAAATCAATGCCTTCAACTTGTTGTTGGATGCTTTATGCAAGTGTAGTTTGGTTGATGATGCTGAAGCATTGTTTAAGAGCGTGAAGGACAAGGTTAAGCCTGATGCTAACACGTATAATGTAATGTTTTTTGGCTGGTGTAGAGTTAGGAATCCGACTAGAGGAATGAAGGTTTTGGAGGAAATGATCCAACTTGGCCATTCCCCTGATAGTTTTACATACATTACTGCCATTGATGCATTTTGCAGAGCAGGGATGGTGACCGAGGCAGCTGAACTTTTTGAGTTCATGAGAACGAAAGGTTCAACTCTGTCTTCGCCCACAGCAAAAAGTTATGCAATTATGATTGGGGCTTTGGTCCGGAATAATAGAATGGACGAGTGCTTTAAGCTTCTGGAGGATATGATAAACAGTGGTTGCCTCCCTGATGTTTCAACATACAAAGAATTGATTGAAGTGATGTGTTCGGCTGGGAAGATTGATGAAGCTTATAGATTTTTGCAAGAAATGGGAAACAAAGGTTATCCTCCTGATATTGTTACTTATAACTGCTTTCTCAAGATCCTCTGTGAGAATAAAAATAGTGAAGAAGCACTTAGGCTTTATGAAAGAATGACTGAAGTCGGTTGCTTTCCTAGTGTGCAGACTTATAATATGCTGATTTCAATGTTTTTTGAAATGGGTGATCCTGATGGGGCATTTGAGACTTGGCATGAGATGGATAAGAGAGGCTGTGCACAGGACGTTGATACTTATATTGTGATGATTGATGGGCTTTTTGGTTGCAATAAAGTAGAGGATGCATGTTTCCTGATAGAAGATATCGTGAACAAGGGAATGAAATTGCCATATAAGAAGTTTGACTCTTTTCTGATGCAGCTTTCAGTGATTGGTAATATCCGAGCCATCCACAGACTCTCAGAGCACATGAGGACGTTCTATAATCCTTCTATGGCTAGACGTTTTGTGCTAAATCAAAAGAGAAAAAGCATGAGCGTCAGAGGGAAGTAAGACGGTATGAAAGCGATCATTGCTTTCAGAGTATGATGGTTTGTCACATGTATGCCTCCTTATCACTTTGTCTCTACCTAATGTTGTATGTTTATTGAACGAAAGGCCATCAATATTTTTTCCTCTCTTCCTTTAAACTTATGCAGTAAAATGTCGCCATGTTTTCTTGCACTTGTCCTTGTCCTTGTAGCTTCAACTTGAACTGTCACTTCACATTTCATCCACATGGAACATGGCGAACTTTAATGGCCAAGTATCTCCCATGTTTAGGGTGTTAATACTTCCATTCTTTGTTTTTCCCCATTTATTCTCATCTCAGCAACACTCATATAGACCAATGTTTATAGCCTGCTTATCATGCCTTCATAACTGACTAAACCAAAATGTCTTGATCATCAATTTAACCATTTTCTTTTGCTGCTTAATATCTAAACCATTTTTGTTTTTCAAATAATTTCATAGATCACAGCAAAACATTGTGCTGTAATTGGCTGGTGTGATCTAATTTACCATGCAACGTTATTGAATGGCCTCTGCATGTGTTTAGATAGCTGAAAGGATGTCAAAAGTAGAATTTGTCAAATCAATGATGCTTTCTGAAACTTCAAATTTTGAATTCCTGTCATAACCATTGCTTTTCTGTTCTTTGGAAGACTCATGCGTATATAAATTTGATCCATTTGCAATTTACATGTCCAACTTGACTAATTAAAAGAACCACATGGACTATCGTCTGGCTGGTTCAGGCACCTTTGGATGTTTGTTGTAATTTTAAAGCATCTCCCAGTAATATTCAGCTACAAACAATCACCTAAGGCTTCATGCACCAGGCAGCTAGTCCAGCTATGAGTTAAACGCTGATGGCTTTCTAGGCAGCATCTTATGAAGAGCAGCTGGTCTATACTATGTTGTGCCGATGAGAAATCTAGCACAAGATTGATAGCTCATCATGAAATAATTCTTGGGAGAAACTAAAACTTGGAACTTGGTTATAATTCAACATGCCGTGTCTCTCAGACAGCGAGTAAAGACTCAAGACTAATGCTTGGATTGTAATAGAGCATTCCAATTTCTGGAATCTATTGACTGCCCCTTTGTGCATGCTATTTTTGCATCATAGAAATACTCAAATTAACTCTTTGGTGCTATACTGATATGTTATGCTACATGTTACAGGCCATCTTCAAGGACAGTTGATCTTTGATAAATCAAAATTATCCTTCATCAATGGTCAAGCACCTGCTTCTGTTGAAGGTATATAAGATATTCTCTATCCAATTTCTTTTTACTCCTAGGGAAGACATACTTTTGGATTATGTACTGCTTCAGTATTAGTAATGCGATTCTTGCAATATTCTGATTTCACATATTTGAGATAAACTTGCAATACACCTGCCTATAACCCGCGTTCTCCATCACAAGATAACAGCACAATAAACTCTCCAGACCCCTTCGAACCCATCTTTCAGTCAGAGGACAAAACTGAGCTCGAGCATACTGCAGCATAGTGTTGCTGTTGTAAATTCCCATGATAAGATGCAATATATGCTATGGTTGAAAAGTGTACAATCTCTGCCTGGGGAGCGAAGAAAGTTCTCTTCCAAAATGCTGCTCATATATCACCAAAGTTGTTAAGCATTTAAATGTTGCAGAAGCACCAGACAGCTGAGGCTGAGAGGGCATACTAAGTTCATTATATCTGAATACCTTTTCAAGGTTCCCTCAACAAATGCAGCAGCGAGATGATTACATATGATGGATGTAATGGCTGCATCCAACCAAAATGGTTGTGATAACGGGGATGGAAGGGGGAATCAGCAGGGGGTGTTTTTTTCAAGACAAACGGCCAGGTGAAACTTGAAACTTCTGGCACTCCTTCCATTCTGAACCTGGAAATAAAGACTCTGAATGAAGGTGGAGCGAGTGAACTACGAAGTATCCAAACCCTTTTGATTATTGGATCATTGACTTTTTAAAATGGTTTAGACAATGACCTTCATGGCTACTCCTCCATGGTTTGAGGTAAAGCTGGATTGTTTCCTGCTATGTCTGATGTCAACTAAAGTAGTTCAGCAGATTTAACTTTCAACTTTGTAGGTTTTTTTTTTTTTCAGGAGGCATTAGAATTTGTACTCTCTATGCAAGTTTTAATGCACTGGTACCACCTGAGTGATTATTATGAAAGCACTGTATTCTTGAGGAAGAAAACTGGATGAAATTTCCAGCTTCATTTTACCCTTGATTCAAGGTCAGTATGAAACACCTTAATCCTCTCTCCATATGAACACCTTATAATTTGTTGTCAACTGCTTGAGTTCATGTGTAATTCTAAACCTTCAATCCGCGAATGTAGTTATATCTGATAACGAATTGATCTGTACTTTCCTCCATTGGTTCTGTAGCTGTTGAAGTCATGTGGAAAACGAAGAAAGATAATTCGAAGACCTTACCAATAAATTGCATTTCGTGGACCAGCTAGCAGAATACTGCAAATTTCTGTGCCCGGGAAGGTCTGCAGTGCTAATTTCTGATTCCCCAACCAAATATAACAGAGAGGATAGCGGTAGCAATGCTGATTGCTGTCCAAAAGTGCCGGGAGTTAGTGTTCAAGGACTAGCTTTTAATCCAGGAACTGAACGAAACTCGTTAATTTGCAGACAACAACATAATCAGAATTTATGCATTTAATAGATATTTCTGTAGTTTCTGGAGTATATCGAATATTTAAATTGCAATTACAGGTTGCAAAATACGATAATAGCTAATTTAATCACTCCATAAAGTTTGGAGTGGGATTAACCATTGGTGAAGTTGGAAAAACACAGGCAAGTATTCATCAACTCTTTTAAGATGTAACAACGGGGTACAAATGGAAGTAAGGGAGCAGAGACCAGAGAGGTGTTTCTCTTTTACAGAAAAGCAACCTTCTTACCCTTATGGATCTGTCAATGTTCCCCTTCTTCCATAGATAGACTTTTTCCAATTTTACTCCTATTGTCGTTAAAAAGTTTCAATTTTCCCTTGACTACAAAACAACTATTGAAAAATTGACTTTTTCATATTTTTTTAATCATTTTTCACTCTCATTCTTTCAAATTCTTGTAGATGTTATAAATGTGTTACCACGTGAATTTCAATTTCATTCGCAAAGAAATGTCATCTAAAATAAAAATAATATGAGACCTTATCTTGATAACACATAAGCCCAAACTGTATTGGTTGAAAGCTATCGAAAATGGAACCTTTTGCCCCCATCATTGGCGCTTTGAAGTTTGAACAAAAAACCCTAACTTTTTCCTTCTCTTTGTTAACGAGTATATTTTTTTTCTATCTTATTCTCTATAAAATAGCGACTTTAGTTGGACTTTCATATTTTACTTGGAATATGATCAACTTTACAGACAACCCAACTAATTAATTGATTTAATTACCTATCTCAAAACATTAATAATCCATCCATTTTACTAACTTGCATGACAAGTAGGTGCCAATGGTTTGGGGGTAACCTTGGAAGTTGGAACCATTCGAAAGCTAGAAGGTACGTACGTTGATTAATTTTAAACTATAGGAGTAGAAATGAAAGAATGGTTAGGGACAAAAGTGAAGTTTATCCGAAATTAAAGGTAGTACTCATGGAAAGAAAGGCTCAGCATGCATGAGCAATTTGGCCCGGAAGACGAGAAGACTGCTGTGATGGTGTGATATTGAATGTGATTGGCTTTCATCCCCATGAATTAATAATTAGTAGGTAAAATGAAATAAAGGAAGGTGGCTGATGGTATGGATATCTGTCTCTTGCAATTCTTTCATGTAATTTTCGATGCATGTACTGCACAGCTGGCATATATAGACTCCCAGACTTCTTCTGGTTTCCCTGCCTGCCATCCATCCTGTATGTATGCCTTCATTCCTTTCTAGCTATAAAGAATATATTTACTAGTTTCTTTATAATTAAGCTTTAGAGGATGAAACTTGGGGTTTGGTTTGGTTATGTTGCAGATCGTTAAGGAGACAACTGTGAGATTAAAGGAGACGATTAATGGCGCAGAGTTCAAGCGAGAAGATAGCAGAACCTGATGACCCTGCCTTCATCGATACCATATTTTCTTGGTCTCTTGAGGACATTTTCAATGAAAACCTTTTTAAGGTTTTGTGCTCCTTTGTCATTACTCTTTACACTTACTTGGAATTATTGCCTGCATTTGCCTTGTTTGATGAACTTATTAGTCTACATTAATCCGAGATCCATTGCAGCATGTCTTAATATGTTTATGGCACATGCGTTTAAGATTCCGTCTCTTGATGTTATCTTACTACCCTTCTAAAGAAGTCTGCATTTTAATCTTTTGTAGGTCGAAAAGATTCCAGAGTCCTTTTTATCAGTTCAGCACTATTTAGGTTCATATATACTTCCTTTGCTTGAAGAAACTCGAGCACAGCTCCATTCAAGTATCGACATTATTGTCCGAGCACCATATGCTTCAGTGATTTCTTTCTCTGAGTGCAAGCCTGATGGAAGATTAGTATATGATGTTACTGTCGATTGCTGGAGAAACAGATTCAGTGATTGCGGAAAGCATCCTTACACGACATTGCCTGGAGATATTGTTATTCTAACAGATGCTAAACCTAAAACCACCTCCGACTTGCAAAGCACAGGAAGGGCGTGGACTTTAGCACTGGTCGCCGATGTCAAAGACAACGCAGATGACAGTGTTATAAAATTTGCTTACAGAGTCAAGGCATCTAAAGATGTTGAGTTCAGTAATGCAACGCACAAATCATGGTTTATGATTTTCTTGATAAGTATAACCACAAATAAAAGAATATGGAAAGCATTACAGGCACCTAGGAACTTGAATTTTATCAAAGATGTTCTGTGTGCTAATTCTTTGGTAAGGGATTTGAATTCTGTTTTGTTGATTCAGCACTACCCTGCTCACATGTAGATGTCCTGTTTATGTTGACCACATCATATGCACCTTACATTTCCATCTTTTATTTCTCCTCGAATGTAATTATAGAAATAATTTCTAGGATATGGAATTTATATTTGTATTGCAATTATATGCTATTGGGATCTAACTAAAATTCGATGTCTCGTAACAGGTTGCCGAAAAATGTAGCTATTGTTCCACGCGGCGTGATGGAATCTTTGATGAGAGATTTGTTACAAATTTATCATCTAAATTGAATGAATCCCAAAATGAGGCAGTTGTGGCTTGTCTTGACAAAATGCAGTGCAACCATAAGTCTTCTGTTGAACTTATTTGGGGCCCAGCAGGGACGGGGAAAACCTACACCGTCAGCATGTTACTGTTTGGCCTTTTAAGAATGAAAAGTAGGGGCCTGACTTGTGCCCCAACTACGGTGGCCGGGATAGAGGTGGCCACCAGGGTCCTAAAGCTGGTGACTGAATCTTGTGAAACAGAATCAGGAACTCATGATATGGGTTTTTCTTTGGGAGACCTTCTTTTCTTTGGTAATGGGGAGGGACTTAAAGTTGATTCAGGAATTGAAGAAATATATCTATGTTATCGAGTTGAAAGACTTCTGGAGTGCTTTGGTCCTGATGGTTGGCGGCACTGTTTCACTTCTGCAATTGAATTTTTTGAAGATTGTGCTTCACAGTACTTCAACGAGCAAGGGAGCAGTCATGAAAATGAAAACAAAGATGAAAAAAGCTTCAGTGCAAGAGATGATGGCATTGGGGAGTGTAAATCGTTTCTTGAATTTGTAAGAGAGAGATTTCGATCTACTGCTTCACCACTGAAAAAGTACATGTATGTTTTACGCACTCATATTCCTGAAAGTTTCATTCTGAAACAAAACATTGAGAACATTTTACGCCTTGTTGGGTTACTGGACTCTTTTGAGACTCTGCTATTCTTCAATGATATAATACCTGAAGAGCTGAAGAAGCTTTTTTCTTATCCTGAGTTAGTTGAGGACTCTTCCAAAGATTTTCCAGATATATTATTGCTCTTGTGCTTGAGGAGACGCGAATGCCTTTCTCTGTTAAAAACACTCCATAATTGTCTCAGTGAACTTAATCTTCCCAGTTCAGAGGACAACGATTTAATTGAAGAGTTCTGTTTTAGAACAGCGTCTTTGATTTTTTGCACGGCATCCAATTCATATAAGCTGCATTCCTTGGCCATTTCACCACTCAAGTTTTTGGTAATTGATGAAGCAACACAGTTAAAAGAATGTGAAACAGCAATACCCTTGCAACTTCCTGGTATTAGGCATGCCATTCTTATTGGTGATGACTGCCAGTTACCAGCTATGGTTGAAAGCCATGTATGTAAATGTTAATTTGACTTCTTATAATATCCTGAACTCCTTTTTTTTGTTCTTATTGAACTCTAGATTAGCATTATAAATTGCAAAAATGATCTCCTTTTGTTCTTTTGTAATTAGGTTTCCTCTGAAGCTGGTTTTGGAAGAAGTTTATTTGAAAGGTTGAGCTTGTTAGGTCATCCCAAACACCTTCTAAAAATGCAGTACAGAATGCATCCATCAATCAGTTGCTTCCCAAATTCAAATTTTTACATGAATCAGATGTACGATGCACCGAATGTCAATGTCAAGGGTAGAAAATGTGAAAACCGTTATCTTCCAGGGCCAATGTTTGGTCCATATTCCTTCATAAATATATTTGATGGTAGAGAGGAGCTGGATGACATTGGGCATAGCCGCAGAAACATGGTTGAAGTCGCCATTGTGTGGAAGCTAGTGCAAAATGTTTACAAAGGTATGCTAAGGTGGCTTTTAACGTTCATTTACCTTACAAATTTGGAATGCTGTACCCGATATTCTTATGCAATATTGGATTTTGTCAGTCTTTGTATTGGTTGTTTTAGAATCAGTTTTGTCTCATTGCAATATCAGGTTTGTTCTATGATGTAGTTTTGGGAAGTACCTTGTGCATTTGTTGGAGAAAAGCTACTGTGTGAATTTGGTATTTTTAGGTCATGATATTTTAAGTTTCTCTGTAACTTTTTTTCATGCTAATGCCAAACAGATGAAAATGAAGAAGCATTTTGTTGTCCATGACTGTTAGATTGATTATATATGTTGTGCTACATTGACTTTTTTTGAATACAGCGTGGAAAGGCTCAAAACAGAAGCTCAGAATTGGTATAATTTCTCCATATTCCGCTCAGGTAGTTGCCATCGAAGAGAAACTTGGTCAGAAGTATGAACACATTGATGGTTTTTCAGTGAAGGTGGACTCAGTAGATGGCTTCCAGGGCGGGGAGGCAGATATTGTAATAATATCAACTGTAAGATCAAATGCAGGTGGAGCAATTAGGTTCATGTCTAATCCTCGGAGGATTAATGTTGCTCTCACAAGAGCTAGGTCTGGCTTTGAATTAAACTCATTCCCTGCTATGTGCTGATATTGTAGTTCTATTTCACAATAACCGTTGTTTTTTTTTTTTTCTAATGTTTTTTCAGGCAGTCTCTTTGGATTTTGGGTAATGAGAGAACCCTGTGTCAAAGTGCCTCTGATTGGGAGGTTTTAGTCCATGATGCTCAGGAGCGCAGGTGTTTCTTTAATGCTGATGAAGATAAGGAATTGGCGAGAACCATTTTCGAAGTCAAGAAAGAGTTTGATCAACTTGATGATTTGCTTCGTGGAGATTGTGCCCTTTTAAGATGTGCTATATGGAAGGTAGATAATGTGTAGTTAGTTTAAGGCTATGCCATCCATTATATTTTTCAGATGTAGGATATCTTCGAAGAGAAATGTTTTCACTTTTTGTATCTGGAATCTTCAGGTTCATTTCAGTGAATACTTTCGAAAATCTTTTGGGAAGCTTGCATCTCGAATAAGAACCTACATTCTGAATTTTCTACTCAAACTTGCCAGTGGCTGGCGTCCTAAGAGAAGGACTGTGGATTTGATATGCAAAAGATCTTCTCAAATCTTGAAACAGTTCAAGGTCGAGGGATTATACATAATCTGCTCAATTGATATTGTGAAGGAAAAGAGGTATACTCAAGTTTTGAAGGTTTGGGATCTATTGCCATTAGAAGATGTTCCTGGATTGCTCGAACGTCTCGATGGCATCTTTGAAACATACACTGATGATTTTATCAGACGTTGCAAGGAGATATCTGTGGAGGGGTATGTGCTCATTGACAATAATGAAATTCAAGTGTTAGTTATGTTTCTAAATAATAATTTTCTTCGTCTTGGTAGAGGAGCAGCTTATTTTTCCTGTGTTCTAATGCATTTATTGCTGATTCATGTCTAGGGTTTTGGTAGTTCCAAGAACTTGGTCGACCTATTCTGATATTGTCAGGTATAAGAATGTTAGGAGCATTGGAAGAGGGGGCTCAGATGGTATCATGGAGAACTCAAAAGTGAGTGAAAGTTTGTTGCTGATGAAATTTTACTCCCTGTCATCAGGTGTCGTAAAACACTTGCTTTCTGATAGCGATGGTAGAGAATTGGTGCTCCCATTTGAAGTAACATATGAGGAACGGAACATAATTCTATTTCAAAAAAGTACGTTTATCTTGGGACGATCAGGCACCGGGAAAACAACTGTTTTAACCATGAAGTTGACTAAGAAAGAGCAGCTGCATCATATAGCAACAGAAGGATTTGGTGAAAAATATGGAAACACCTTGGAGGATGCCTGCTGGAGAAAAAATTTTAACGATGGCATTGAATTGGTAGAGGGTGATGTTGAAGAGGCCAAGAAATCTGTCTTGCGCCAGCTTTTTGTGACAGTTAGTCCCAAACTCTGTTATGCTGTCAAACAACATGTTTCTCAGTTGTTAAGGTTAGTGGATTGCTCCCTAGAATTTACCATGTATAAGAAAGGTATTTCCAGATTACTTGTTGTTTTGCCCTTTTCAAATGCATGGTTATGATACCAGTTGTTTGGGAAGGTAAAATGTAATTCTGAATGGTTAAGGTTTGCATGAGTCCAGCATAATATGACTAAAGTTCTCCACATTTAATTAGAAAAACCAGTAATGCTATTCTTATATATTTGTCTTACAAAATTCACTTGCTACGAAAATGCTATGGGAAGGGAAAGTCATAAAACTAGATATACTTTATGAAATCCTTTAATTTTTACCAAATCTTTAATGGGCAAAATGTAAGTGGATATTGCATTCTTCAATTGAACTTCTATCAAAAATAAATAAATAAAAATAAAGGAATATTATCGTAAGCTGTGAAGTAAGATATCTTCATAGAGTAGTTTATTTCATACTGTATTTTTTGACCTTTTTGAAATTTGTAATTCGATGTTTATCATACGAAAACGTATATATGATATTCATACTTGTGTTTTCAAATTATATCGCAAAAGCTGCTTCCAACTGTGATTAGTCATATGTCAATTTGATGCACTTATCTTATAGAAGCCTTGTTATACATGTGCAGCTTTGCCTCTGGTGGTAAATATTCATCAGGAAGTAGTTCAGCCATAGAAGATATCGATGACACAGCCCTATACCATGGCATCCCAGACTCCTTTGTTGATATTCCTCCCAAGTCGTACCCTCTTGTAATAACTTTATCTAAGTTTCTGGTGATGCTTGATCTAACGATTGGTAAATCCTACTTCGAAAGGTTTCCTTGTGTGAGGCGGTTTTTGCATGGAGAAAGGGGAAATTCAGGATCAATATCCCTACTTACTTTAATACAAACAAGAGAGGTGGACTTCAAAAAGTTTCTCTCAATTTTGGCCGCATTTTGATTCCACAGTAACTAAAAAGATGGATCCTTTAAGAGTCTTCACTGAGATAATGGCTCATATAAAAGGTGGCTTGAGAACTTGGGAGTCCTGTAATGGTAGACTCAGCCAGGAGGGCTATCTTGAACTTTCTGGTCGAATGTCAACTTTAGGTATCCAGGAGAAAGAAACCGTGTACAAAATTTTTAAAGCTTATGAAAAGATGAAGGTCAAAAATGGTGATTTTGATATGGCTGATCTTGTAATTGATCTTCATGACCGGCTTAAAAAAGAAAAGTATGATGGTGACATGATGGACTATGTATACATAGATGAAGTCCAGGATCTTACCATGAGCCAGATTGCTCTTTTCAAATTCATCTGCAAAAATGTGATAGAGGGCTTTGTGTTCTCCGGCGACACAGCTCAAACCATTGCAAAAGGGGTTGATTTCAGGTTTGAAGATATAAGATTTCTGTTCTATAAAGAGTTTCTCCCAGCATGAAGAAGTGGAGAAAATGATAGACGAAATAAGAAGGGTCAATTATCTAAAATACTTCAGTTGAGCCAAAACTTCCGTACCCATGCTGGTGTTCTGAAGTTAGCTCAGAGTGTCCTAGACCTTCTTTACCATTTTTTCCCTTCGCTTGTCGACATTCTAAGCCATGAAACTAGTCTTATATCTGGGGAAGCACCAGTTTTTCTAGCAGAGAATTCTGAAAAAGCAATTGCAACTATATTCAGGAGCAATGCTGATGAAAAATGCAATTTTGTTGGATTTGGAGCAGAGCAGGTCATATTAGTGCGGGATGATCATACCAGGAATAAAATTTATAGTTACGTTGGTAAGCAAGCTCTTGTTCTGACTATACTGGAGTGCAAGGGCTTGGAGTTTCAGGTCAGCAGTGTTTACCTTTATTTCTCTACTTGTTTCTACTATTTAGAGGATCACTTAATGGTCTATCACTTCCAACTTTTCTTTTGCTTTTCTGTCTTTCGTATTGCTTTAAGATTACCTCATCATTAAGACACCCATTATCATTTATTGGTCATATTTCTATCTCTGTATATTGCATGCTTGGGGGTGGGAGTGGGGAAGGGGAGGGCGGGTGGACTTATTGTTTAATATTGGTCACTTCTTCTCAGGAGAAGTAAACAAAAGCAAGAGATAACAAAACAGTCATTATATGATTGCAAAATTCATTTTGTCGAACATTTACTTATGTGTCAAAGAGTTGACATTTTTTTCAGCCATTTTACGACTCATATTTTTAACTTTGTGCTTCTTGTAGGATGTATTTCTGTACAATTTTTTTGGCTCACCAGATTTGAGAGACAAATGGGGAATTGTATATGAATACATGAAGGAACATGGGATACCGTGTTCCAGTTCTTCCAGGTCCTTCGGAATTTCGAGTTTCGATCTGGCAAAACACTATTTGTTGTGTTCTGAGCTGAAGCAATTATATGTTGCTATCACTCGTACAAGGCAAAGATTGTGGATTTGTGATGAGGATTTTTCCAATCCAATGTTTGATTACTGGAGAAAGAAGGAACTTGTCAAAGTCAGGCAACTAGATGATTCACTCCTTCAAGAAATGCAAGTTGTAAGCAGTCTTGAAGAGTGGAAATCACGAGGATACAAGGTTTGTTGCTTGTTATTTATTTAATTTGCAATTACTTTTTGTTGGTAATATTGTCATTAAGTTATTGCAATTCTTAAACAAAATAGGCGCAGCCCTAAGTTTATACTTTTTGCAAGTTCAGAGAGCCTTTTTTGTTTCATTGTCTTCTTCCATAGACTATAATTTTTGCTGGCTTCATGTGTGCCATTTATTGACGAGGGCAAAAATGTTTTGTTTCACAATTAATTCTTGCTTTTCCAGAACGATTATGCAAGGGTAACTTTATTTTTCTTCTCTTTCTGTTCACGGAATGCAGCTTCTACATGAGCATAACTATGATATGGCAATCACATGTTTTGAAAGAGCTGGAGATAGACATGCACAGACACTGGCAGAGGCTCTCGGCCTTAAAGCAGCTGCTGACAGAATGCATGGTTCAAATCCTATAATGGCTTCGAACGCTCATATGCAGGCTGCTGAAATGTTTGAATCGATTGGAAAGGTTGAAAGTGCTGCAGAATGTTTTTACTTGTCAAACAATTATGAAAGAGCAGGTGCAATATTATTCTCTTGTTTCTTCTTTAGTAACTTATAGAAATATGAGTTGAAAAGTAGCAAGTGACAATAGAACAGAAAATTTTCTAGTTCCAATTGAACATCAATATGTGTTCTTGCCTATGCAGGTAGAATTTATTCACAATGTGGAGAATCTTCTGTAAAAAGGGCTGCCGAATGTTTTTATCTGGCTGGATGTTATATGCTTGCAGCAGAACTATATGCTAGAGGAAACCATTTCTCAATGTGCTTGACTGCATGTACAAAAGGAGAACTCTTTGAAATGGGATTGAAATATATTCAGGGCTGGAAACAACAGTTATTGACGAATGATTATAGAGACAGGATTGCACAAGAGTTTCTGGAGAGCAGTGCACTTCATTATCACAAGCTCGGTGAAAAGATAAAGATGATGAGATATGTTAGATCTTATGATTCCATGGATTCTATTCGAAAATACTTGAAAAAATTTGGATACCTTGATGAGCTTCTGTCGTTGGAAGTAGGATCTGGTAACTTCCTGAAGGCTGCAAACATAGCAAATATCAAAGGTGAACTTCTACTTGAGGCCGACCTGCTTGAGAAAGCTGGACACTTTAAGGATGCATCAATTCTTGTGCTTTGGTACGTGCTTCTCAACTCTCTTTGGCCATCTGGGAACAGAGGCTGGCCCTTGAAGCATTTTGCAGAAAAGGAGAAGCTTTTATCAAAAGCAAAGTCACTGGCGAAGAATGCATCAAGCCAGCACTGTGAGATTGTGAGCATAGAGGCCGAAATATTGTTGAATGAACAGAGTAGCTTAAGTATGATGAAGAAACATCTAAGTAACTCTCAGAGACATAAGAGTATCAGAGGTGAAATATTATCTGCTCGAAAGATTCTGGATGAGTATCTTGATCTCAATGTCTCAAAGTATTGGCAGCAAAACAACTTGGTTCATCATCAACCAGGGTTTTGGAAAGAAAAATCTTCAGAAAATAGGGTCTCTGTTGAGACATTGGTTTTCTATTGGAAAGTTTGGAAGAACATGATTTTTAACATATTTAAGTATCTCAGTTGTCTTCCAGCACAAGATACCAGTAAATATAGAAGTTATGGAGAATTCTGCTTCAGTTACTTGGATCTCTGGAAGCAGATCAATACTAATGTCTACCTTTTATTGAAATCTGATGCCAATTGGGTAAGGGTATTGGAAAGCAGATTTGTAAGAGAAAGTAAGCTCGTTTCTGTGAATGTTCACCAAGTAGTCTTTGCTGCTCGAAGTTATTGGCGTTCAGAATTACTTTCTGTTGGTATGAATGTGCTGATCAAACTTAAAGAATTGTACGAATCAACTTATTCTTTATCTCTCTTCAGTCAAAGCATCTGTCTTGTTCATTTCTATGAGGTTGCAAAATCTCTTTTGAGTTCCAGATATCTGAATCACCAATCCCATGATAACAAGATACTGCAGAATTTAATTGGAATACCAACTCAACACTTCTTTAGCTGCATATTTCCTGTGGACTGGAGAGAATCATTGGAAGTGAATACGATTTCCTGGAGGATGAGTCCGATTTCTAAAGATTTACTCAAAGAAGTAATTTTTGTAAGCGTCAGCTTAAAAAACAAGCTATCTTATGAGCAACTTGGAAGAATGGCAGTGATTATTCTTGGGTCTGGTCACATGTACAAAGAATCATATGAGAAGATCAAAGATAGGGTAGCATGGAATCCAACATGGATGGCTTTCTTTGAGGCTTTCTGTAGGAATGCGTGTGAGCTGTCTTATATGTGGAAGTTGCATGGAGCTCTAGCAGATGTTTATATTGCCAACTGGAGGAAAGAAGACTATATCTCACCTGGCTGTTTTTTGTACCTTATCGAGCGCCAGCTGATTTCGTTATCTTGCTCCCAGGGGTACTTTCTCACAACAATGTCTTCATTCATCGAATGGTTTATCTACCAGGAACGCAGTGACAGTCTAGCTTCCGTAGCCGAACATGCTCCACAATCTACTGAAGCCATTCTGGAGTTTGTAGCACATGTTGTTAAGCAGTTCCTTCATAATATGAAGCATACAATGGAGTGGACCGAAAAATCTTACAAAAATGTGAAGGACTGTGAAGCAGTGGTGTTGAGATTAGTTGTTGCAATCTGCCTGATTTATTTGAACTTTGGTTTGTGCTGAGACGTGCTTTTTGACTTGCTGGGTAGGAAAGATATCACCGAACGACTGCCATGGAAATTTTATGCTGCCCTTTGCGGATTTCAGAAACACAATTCTCTGGAATTTAATGTACATGTGCTTTATGGAGCATTTAAAAAAATCGGCAATCGTTTGGTAATTGTGAGTTTGGGCGTGGATTGTTCAAGATATTTATGCCCAAATGCCGTTTTTGTAGATATGACTGACAGACGATGCAGAGTGAACATACGGAGTGTCTTGTTTTCCAAGATCAATGAAGCTGTTCCAGATTGCACAGGAGCTGCGGATGTCGACATCCTCTGTTCATGTACAGGAATAGTGGCTCAAGACAATTGCGATCAAGGTAAAAGGCCTGACCTTTTATCTTCAAATGTTGGTTCTGTGGCAGATTGGAGCTCTAACAAGTCGAAAATCGACGAGAGTAACCATACTTTGATCACTGAACGGCTGTGGGAAATATTTAAAATTTTAACATCAGACAATCATGGGGGAGACAAAAGTATCCTTCCCGAAATTTTAAAGAATGATACAACAGTTAAGGTAATGCTAAATTGTTCTAACAGTATTTTGAAGAATAGGACCAGCTGAGCATTGTTAATCTATTCCAGCTTATGTATTTTATTATTATTTTTTTTTTCAGAGGGATATAGAGAGATCTATTCACCTCTTAAGTACTGCAATAGAAGGTTGCTCCCAGAAGAGTCCTCCTGATGACGAAAATAAAAGCCTATTTGAGGAAGCTGACAGCATGCTTGACGATTTGAGACGACTTTACGTTGCAATGGAAATGAGGTCTGTTTAAACTTGGTGCTCAATTCTTGATGCCCAAGAGAAGTTTCTTTCTTTCTTTGCTTTCTGCATTTTCTCTTCTGATTTTTGAACAGGATGTAATTTGCTAATTTGCGTTTCTTCATAATCATGAGTTAAATATGGATTTCAGCAAGCTTGGACTTCAGAATGACATTTCAACACTTCTCAAGAAGTTGCAGTCAAGAAAGCCAAGAATAGAGCCTTTACTGAATCGGATATTCTTGCCAGAAGATGAAAATCTGAAAATGGTGGCATCTGAGTTATATTTGCAAGAAGATAAAAACCTGAAAAGGGTGGCATCAGAGTTATCATTGCCACAAGATGAGAACCTGAAAATGATATCATCTCAATTATCGTTGCCAGAAAATGAGAACCTGAAAAGAGTGGCATCAGAGTTATCCTTGCAACAAGATGAGAATCTGAAAAGGGTGGCATTGGAATTATTCTTCCGACAAGATGAGAACCTGAAAATGGTGTCAGAAGATGAGAACCTGAAAAGAGTGGCATCGGAGTGATCCTTGCCACAAGATGAGAACCTGAAAGGGTGGCATCGAAGTTTTTAGGACCAGAATAAAGCCTTAATCCTTTTTTTTTTTTTTTTTAACGCAACATAGCTTCTGAGCTGTAAATAATCTTTGGTTCAAATAAGACAACGGACTTGTTAAAAACATGAAAGAATATTTTTGGTTCTCATCTAAGCATGACAATGGTGAGGTATCTTATCCATTAATTTAATTTTTTATTATATTTATAAAAAAAATATTTTGTCTATTATCTATTATCTATTGAGAAATCATCATATATATTTTTATTCATTTAATATCTGATTTATATTAATTTAATCATTTATTTAGTACTTATTTAATATTTGTTAAAATTAATTTGTCAAACATATTTATTTTAGTTCTTATAATTTTTAAGAAAAATTTTTTTGGTTTTTAATTTTTTTTAAAATATTTTAATCCCTAATTTTTTAAAAATATTTTGATCCCTATAATGCAAAGTAGTGTTAGTGTTGGGGAGATCTAATTAACACTAGAAAGTCACTTACCTAAGAGGATTTTACACATAAAGATGAATACTACTTTAACCCAAAAATCTAAACTAATGGGTTATAAGTCAATCATATATATATAAATATATATATATATATGTTACAACTCATATGTGTACCCAAATAATCATAATTATTTAATAATCTCAAATGCTTAACAATCATAGTATAATATTATAGTGTCATCAACAGCTCACAACTCTAACAAAAGCTTGCTCATCCAAAAGCCCACGCCTATCCTCTGTGCTCCTAATCAAGAGACACGTTTTACTAATTATTATATGAGTCATCCTCTATTCACCCAAGAATCCAACTCGCTTTTTATTTTTATCATGAGGGTAGTAATTATGAAAGCCAATCCACGATGTCTGCATACTCGTTCTAGCCAATATTGTCTTATAGGATACATAAACACTTATGATATCCACTTGCACTGTTCGAGCCATCAACTCTGATGCCACTTGTTGGAGAGATCTAGCATTGAAGAGTCATTCGGACCTAAACACATAAGGTCTTATGCAAAAGGCTGGACATCATCTTAACCTTAAAATCTAAAATAATAGGTTATGGGTTCATCTTATAAGCACCTTAGGTTCCTTTCGTTTTTTTCAACGTGAAATAGTTATCACTTACATGGATGTCTAACAACTAAAGAGTTAATATAAAATTATTCTAGAATCTCTCTTCACAGTACAACCTTTTGAATTAAAATTATTATTATTATTATTTACATATTTAATTAAATAATTAAGATTGATTTTCATCTAAAAAACTTAAATCTTGTAGTGGAGTTACATTCAATATTATTTATATTACTTTATAATTTTATGTTTATTTAATATAGGATATTTTTACTAATCTTCCTCGTCACTTGCAATCTACTTTTTGAGGTTTATTAAGTAGTTTAGATTTTAAGATTTTTACTAGATACTTGAACTTTTATAAAGTTTTAATATTATATTAAATTAAATAGTTTAGATTGATTTTATTTAAAATATTTAAGTTTTGTGATGGATAATTTCTTTATTATCATTTATATTTTTTATATTTTTACGTTTATTTAATATAAGCTATGTTGATGAGTAAGTTGGTGCTTCATCACTGTGAAGAAAAACCCCAGGTCCATCACAATACTTCGATTTCGAAGCTTTGTGCGAGCTGTACACCACCGTAGTCTTGGGTGAAACCAGCAGCGATTCTTGACCTGGACAATCCCAACGAGCCCTCAATACTATCTTTCACCTCAAAGGCAATTCTTAATCGCAGTAAACAAGAAACTATTCTTGTCTCGAACCCTAAGAAAAGGCAATAAGCAAGAGACATTTCTTGCCCACGCCACCCACTATTAGGCATCACTAGAACCAAAATTATTTCTTGATTTAGGCACTCCCTAGAAGCCATATTTGGCCTTGAGTCCCAGGAAGGGCAACAAGCAAGAAACAATTCCTACCTAGGCCCTCTTTATAAGGCATCGCTAGAACTAGAATCATTTCTTGATCTGAGCACTCCTCAAAAGCCATCTTTTGCTTCGAATCCCAATAAAGACAATAACCAAGAAACATTTCTTGCCCGGAGCACTTTTTATAGACATCATCTTTTTTATTTTTTTATTTTTACTAGTCAATACTATTCTCCATCAAACGTCAAAAAAAATCATTTCAATTTTAAAAATTAAATTATTGATTGAAGTTTTAAAATATAATTTTATTATCCCTTTCAAATCTTGGAACTTGACATTATTAAATTTTAAGACTCTCTTAATCAAATTTTATATTCAACTTGCTGATACTAATAATAAAGAAGAAGCTAGGGACTAACGGTAATGGTTGCATTCTATAAATGAAACTGCCATGTCACTATCTAGCTATATAAAATTGAATCCATTTGGTTGCTTGTTAGAAATGTATTTCTAACCACATTTTTTGTCAGTTTTCATCTTATTGTCTTTTCAGAATAACACTTACATCAACAGGATATTAAGAAAAGGCTAGTTTATTCTGTTGTATTTGTCGTTTGCATGTATTGGGCCTGGTCCAATAATTTTTTTTAGCAATAAATTTATATATTTTTCATAATAATTTATTTATCTATCACTTAATTTTTATATATTTATCTACACACTCAAAATAATTATTATACATAACGAGTACACTTTTCATATATAAAAAACTAATAAAATATTTATCAAGCACAAAAAAAAAATTAAATTAAGTACATTGAATATTCTAACATTCATCCGGTAATTTTTTTTATATAAGTTCAAAATATATTAATTCATTTATTTGCATATTCGATATATTACATATAAAATCAGTACAAAAGCAAAAAAGATTAACACAATCCATATCCAAAATTTCATAAACTTACCCTATGTTTGGATAGGGAGGAAAGTGGGAGAGAGGAAAGAAAATAAGGGTGAAAAGAAAAGTTTTCACCGTTTGGATTGGGGAAGAAAGGCTGTGGAAAGAAAAAAAAATAATAAAAAAATATAAAATAGGTGAGACCCATTTTCCTCCCAAAATTGGGAGGAAGCTGGAAGGAAAACCATTTAAAACACCAAAATTCATTTTCTTTTTCATTTATGCCCTCATCTACCTCGGTCGTCCCCCTCTTTTCTACTCTCTGTAGTAACAAAATAGATCCGTAAATCAAGCCTTTTTACTCCTTCGGCTGGATGTTGCGGTGGTTGGATCCCACTCTCCTCTCATGTGTTTCGTTCTTGCCAATTCATCAAGGCTAAGCATCCGCCGCAAACCCATAATCATCCACCATAACAACACCCCTTTATTTTCTAGTCTTACATACTGCAAGTCATTTAGAAGCATCATACCCCAACTCACGGTCCCAATTTCCTTCGCAAAATCAACGGTGACAACAACAAAAGGTGGAGCATCCTCATTCAAAATTAATTAAACCTGCAAAAATGATAGCAACGACAACAATAGAGTTCAAAAATTATCCTTTACTCCTCGAGTTTCTGTGAGGAAATTCAAATAGTCTAACACCGGTTCTTGTTAGTTCCTCTTGTTTCGTGGAAGCTCCACTCGGGTAACTCATCTCCCTCGGATTCTTTCATTTTCAATTTTCACTAAATGGTCGCTTTAATCTAGAAAGAGAGAAAGATGATACTGATGATTTTAAGTTTGGGCCAGTAGCTGTTTGGTTCTTGCTAAAGAAATCTCTTTCGACAGATTAAGAAGCTAGACATATAGGAAGAACGAAAGACAGGGGAATGATAGGAATAGGGGCATTAGCATGTTCTCATTGCTTTGACGTAAGCGAGAAATTAAGATTGAAATGAACTCCTTTTTTCGGTCCGAATAAATTTACAATAAAAAAGATGTAATAATCTTCAACAAGCCCTTCTCGTGGTTTTGCTAAATATTTTTACGGCTAGTCCTTGTGACAAATGTATTGTTGAGAATTTTAAATTATGGTACATGGCATATGTCAAGTGGAACACCTACATAAGTTGTAAAATCTTAGCAAGGATAGGTCGTTTGCATGAGTTGTGGTGTTAGAATCTTATTTTTACGGAACTTCTAAACCAACATTCTTTTTTGTGAAAAACAACGGATACGATAAACATATCGGGTATAAAACCCGCAAGGTGCGGCAAAAAGCGAACCGAATTAAGGGCCTTTTCGCTAAGATGGATCGTTGAAAGTGGTAAGCAATTCTCGTTACGAGTTAAGTTAATGTTGATAATCATTGGAAAAGTTTTGAAATCACTTGTCAAAATGATTTTTGTATGCAATGGATGACCCCACAATGTCCGACAAGAACGTAAGAACACGTTTGTCTCCCCACTATCTAGTTAAAGCGGGGTAAATTACCATGGCTACTTGTTTTAATGGTTGTGATATCTTTGTGTCTAATTTTGACTTCTTAATTTGATGTTCTTTATGTTGAATCAATAGGTATTACAAGTAGCAAGTGTAGATCACAAGAATTACTAAACACTTTGCTAGGACAAATTGTTGATGAGTTACGGTATATCTCGCAATATGTGTCATTGTTTCTTATGTTAGGCCATATTATACATAATATTAGTTTTCTATCTAATAATGTTTTGCGTATTTATTATAGCCACTGAAGAAAAAAGTTAAAGTGTCCTAAAACTTCGCCGAGGCAAGCTACGAGTAAGACCTAGGTTAGTTGTGCGCTTGATCATTTAGGCGATTGGGTTTATGAGTCTTGTGGGTCCGTGTCCTTTTCGAGTTTAGAGCATCCAAAGTTCGAGCTTTTCTGAATCAAGTTGGGTTACCTATGGTTTCAAGAAGGGATTTTGTAGGTGGGAGATTGGGTGTTAAGTACGAGGAAGCTAGAGGCTGAATCCGAGGCAAGGATTCGAGATGCTTATGTTGATGTGAACTTGAATGGTTAGTCAACCTTATAAAAAACCTTAGACTTTCATAATTATTTGTAATGTGTATGTACAAATTGATCCTAAAACTTACCTAATTATATGTAGTGTTTGCACATAATTTTTTCTCCCATTTATTTATTTTAAGTATTACAAAATACCAAAAAATTAATAAAACAAATCAAGCAAAAAATAGAAAAAGAAGAAGAAGCAATTAGAATGACCTAGTTTAGATTGATTCAAAGAAGGGAGCTAATTGAGAAAAATAAAGGGTTGGCAACAATTCAAAAGACAATCAAGGACATAATTGAAAAAAAAATAAACACCCAAAACACTCCCAAAAATAACCCAAATAATACACCCCTTAAAATAGCCATGAAACACCTCCTCAAAACTAGCCCTTAAACGGCTACAAACAAGCCCCAAAACACCATAAACAATAGCCCCAAAACGGACCTAACACCTATCAAAAGCTAAAAAAATCAGCTTTGAAGCTATTACCAACGACCCCTAAAACCCTTGCAGAGCAACCCCTTTGAACAATCCATTTGAACCACCAAAGCGATCCCAAAAACACCCATAAACCAGCTTCAAAACCATCCAAAAAAACCCCAAACAAATCACCAAAACGAGCACAAACACATCCATCAAAGCGACCACTTTGAACACTTTTTAAAGTTACTGCAAAAGAAGAAATAAAAATTATTATTAAAAAACAAAAAAGGCTAAACATGTTTTCGTGTGTTAGGTTGTTGGCAGTCATAATATGATGTTGTAGATTGCATTTGATTGAGTCTTTTTGACAGAAAAATAAGCAACAAAAGCTACCTTGAGCTTTTAAAAACTCTGTAAATTTTACGAGTAAATTTGGAGTATTCACCGAGTAACAGAGTTATGCCTATCTATCTAACTATGCAATTTGTCCATTTTTTGTGATTTAATTGATTTTCCATGATTGTTCACAATGCTATAATAAACTCATTTTTTTGGATTGCTAAATAGTAATTTTTAAATCCAATAAAAAAAGCTAAGAAAATGATGAGTAAAAGCAACTAACTTATTATATGCATAAATAATAATACATGTTATACATATTTAAATTAATTTTATGTTGATAATCAATCTAAATTGGCTATTGAATTAATTAATTAGTAAATAGTTATCGATTATTCTATGGAGACGATTCATTATCCATCTTGTCATTTCGGATAGATGCTACATGCTAGGTTTTTATTTTATTATCATTTGTACAATTTTCATGAAAAAAAATATTTATACAAATTTATTATAAGTATTTAAATATAGAAATATAATCATAGGGGTATTATAATAAATATATAATAATACGTTTTCTTTGCTCCCTCTTTTTATAATTATCCAAACAAGAAAAATATATTTTCTTTCCTTTCATTTCTACTCTTATCCAAACAACAAGTGGAAAATAATTTTATTTCCTCTCTTTTCTTTCCTCCTAAGAGGAAATATCCAAACAAAAGGTTAGAAAAATAAAAAAATATATACAAAGCAAAACGATCTAGTTGCCGGGTTTGAACCCAAACAACTTTGGTTTTTAGCTCCTTCTAACAACAATGTCAATCACGTATAAGCTTAATAACGTCTTCCTCAAATGAGAGAATGAACGCAAATGATAAGAGAAAGTTACCCTGTGTTTGGATAGGGAGGAAAGTGAAAGAGAAGAAAGAAAATAGGAAGGAAAGAAAAGTGTCCTTCGTTTGTTTTGGGGAGAAAAGTCGTGGAAAGAAAAAATATATATTAAACAAACTTATAACCGATGGGATCGATTTTCCTACCAAAATTAAAAGGAAAGTGAGAGAAAAAGCTTTGTACCATCTTCCTTGATGGTGCTAGTATCCCCGATATTTCGGTATTGCCCTTTCCATTATTGTTATTTACTCCTCCTCCTCTCGTCGCTCATTCTTTCTCTCTCTCTCAAAACACGCACGCACAAAGACGGTATCTATCTCTCTCTCTCATATCTAAAAAGAGAAAGACAACGTTGTTTTCTTATCCGCGTTTCTCTTTTTTTATACGCAACGACTAGGGTTTGAAGGGCCAACTCGAAGAACAGGAAGAAGGCACATAGAAAGAAAATTTAAGCTTCCACTCTTGCCTTAAGCACTCCAAGCCCTTTCTTTTTTCTTTTTCCTTTCCTTTCCCTTTTTGTGTGGGTGAATTTTAAAATATTTCTTTTTTAATTTAAAATTTTTGGTTTTTTGGGAGACTAAAAATTAAGGAGAGATTGGGGTGAGTGTTCTCTTCTCTTTTCTTTTTTTCCTATTTCTCTTATCATCACATGATTGAGAAACTAAAGCTATAAATAATGCTATTATAAATTTTAAAAAAAAGCCTATAAATTATGGTTTCTACAGTAGGACAGAAAATACTTAAAAGTAACAAATGTTAAAATGTGAAGGTTGTTCTTAAATATTGTGTTATTTTTTTATCCATGGAAAATATGTTGTCTTGAACTAAATCTTACTGTAAGTTGTAAACTTTATAAAAATGTGAAGAATTGTTCTTAAATATTGTGCCCTTTCGATCTTGGTTTGGAAAGGTAGAAATTTTAGAATTTTTTTTTTTAAATTACGTTAATATTCAGCCATGAATTACAGGTTGGATGAGATATTGAAAACATAATAACATGGACAAAAATCCTCTTTGCCTGGCATGCGAACAAGCTTATAAAAATTGGACCTTTATATCATAAAGGTATTATAGTAAATATACAATAATATATATTTTTTTTCTTTTTTTATAATTATTCAAATAAAAAAAATATTTTTTTCTTTCATTTTAATTCTTATTTAAATAATAAATAAAAAATATTTTTTTTCCTCTCATTTTTGTTTCATCTCACTTTTTTTTTCCTTTTCTCTTGTGAGGAAATATATCCAAACACAGAGTTAGAGAAAAAAGAAAAAGAGACAGAGGGAAAGATCAATTTTAGTGAGGAGAGAAGTCTGAATCAAGTGGCAGTGCGATCTGGCCAATTGGGAGAGATATTTAATGCATTTACTTAGGTGGAGCTATGAAAACCACCAGTGGTTTATTTTAGCAACGCTTGAAAAATGAAGTTGTCGGCCGTGACAGAGCCGGCAGGGGCCAGGGGGAGATCCATCAAGACTTTGACAAGGTTACTGTTGGTTACTTTACTTGCTCAAACGCTTGGCTTTATCAGAATTGTAGACCCAAGGTACTCATTAAGTCCATACCAGAGACTTTGCTGCTTTTTCTGATAAATCAAGACTGACATGTAACCTCTGTCCACCCCATGCCCTGGCTCCTTTTCACTTGATCCAATAACGTAACCAACGAACCATTCCTACGACGGACGTAGATTTAATTATAAATTAATCCCACTAATTAATTAGTATTTTTTTTAAAAAAACTAATAGCTAATATTTATATTTTAATTCCGTTGATAATTTAATTTTATATTTTTTTATTAAATTATTAATTTTTATTTTCAAATTACTTTATTTATGGTTAAAGAAAGAGAAAAATAATGGGTGAATGAGAGAAATAATACATAAAAAAACAATTTGAAAAAAATTATTAATCAAATTAAAATTGATAAAAAAAATCAAATTATTAATAAAATTAAAACATAAAAAAATAAAGACTAATTTATAATTAGGGACCCATGTCTTTGCCGAAGGCACTGAAATAGACAGCCCTCCTCTTACCGTCTTTGATTACCACACATTCCCTCGTGATCTGTAGCATTTTTATGTGTTTAATTAGTCGATCTAGCACATCAATTAAAATAAGTCTATTTTCCAGCTTCTCTCTTTTCTTTTGGTTCTCTTTAATACGAAAGACCCTAGCTGGTCTTTTCACTTTCTCTCTCTTTTTTTATTTCCTTTTTAATAATTCCTATCTAATTCCATATAATTCTAGATTTGATTTGATTTTTTATTTTTTTATATCAGGTCCATCTCATATTTGCCAGGTTTATATTTTCTTTACTAAAAAGTTTGTTATTACATTTTTTGAATAGAAGGAAATTAAAATTCGTGATAATTAAAACTCGTGACTTTATAGATAACAAAAATTAGAAAATTTGGATCAAATTTGCTCAAAAATCAATATTTTTAGGTTAAATTTATATAATTTGATATTAAAAATCTAAAATTATCAAATTACAATAAAATGCGAATAATTTTTGCCATTAAACACTTGTTACAAAGCAAATTTTTATTTGGTCTGTAAGGCCAGTAGACTGTAATTATTCAATGATTGTTTTGTTGTCTTTCCGAATGAACACCAAGTACATAGTCAAATCTCCTTTTTTCTTTTTTTCTTTTTTTTTTGAGAATTTGACATTTCCTTATTTTAAAAATTATGGTTTCTACTAGAACTGTTTATTTAAAAAAATAAAATAAAATAAAATAATGTTGGAATTACTTTAGGCATCGAGATTTTAAATAAATAATTAAATATGTTTTCTCGAAAATAATTAACAAAAAGAACTAAAAAAATGAGACCAAATCACTTAAAAATGCTGCAAAAGAGAAAAAATTGATTTATTATAGAGATAAAAATTGAACATAATAAAATTTTAATGAATAAAATTAGAAAAGATTACAAAATAAGGACTAAAATGTAAAATTATTAAAAACCAAAAGAGAGCTTCAAGTAGCGAGAGAGAGAGAGAGAGAGAGAGAGCTAGGCTACATTAACCAAACCATAAAAAAAAGAGTTAACTAAAATTTTAATAATCAAAATAAAAAAATTACAAAATAAGGACTAAAATAAAAATAAATTAACTAAAAATCAAAAGAGAGACTTAAAAATGCAACAACAGAAGAAAAAAATAATTTATTATAGGAATAAAAACCAAATATAATAAATTTTATTTACTAAAATTAAAAAAGATTACAAAACATGGACTAAAATGTAAAATTATTAAAAGATAAAAAAAGGCTAAAGCAGCAAGGGGCCGGCCAAAAAAAAAAAAAAACCTTATGAACAGTGAATGAACAGTTTAAAAACAATAATTCAATGTTAAAAAAGATCACGTCTTTTAGTTTATTAGTAATAGAAAAAAATGAAGTGTTAATGATGTACTATAGAGGTAAGACGTGATTTATAAATTTTATTTTATATTATTAATAAATTGAACAATAATAGAAAAGCAGGATTAACCTTTTTTTGTAAGTTTTAATAGTTTCTTTTTAATAATGCGAGATAAACTAAAGCATGATCATGCTTTTGTTTCTTTTTCCTAACCTCTTTTACATTATGGCAACAAAAAATTGACAATGCCCGTAATTAATTCCTTCTCGCAGAAGCTATTGCGGCACGTGCATGCATGTCAAAGAGGGAAGAAACGACAAAACATGGCAGGTTTAAAATCTCACCAGGGATCTATATGCCTGTACGTGTTCATCTTTTTATATATCTCTGGTAATCCAAAGATCAGGCCAATGTGTACGAAAAAGAATAGGACGGTGACAAAGATTGAACATAATAATGAACAAACCATCTTATCTTCTCTGCTTAAAGGTCATGCTAGTGGCTCATCGAATATGATTTTATCCAATAAAAAGGGATAATCATGGTAGATTCATATCCCACTCAAGTGGAAAATGAGAACACCATTATTCTCAGATTAAAAAGTTAAAAAGTCATTTCTAGAGAATAGCACTGGATTACTGATGATGCTCTCAAGTTTTTGAGCCTCTAGATTTATTGTATATGAAAACTAGCGTATAAGTATTTTTTTTTTTTAATGAGTTTGATACTTGTCTTTGTCTAGAATCTATCAAAGTGATCAGAGAGAACGAGGATGCTAACGGATGATGATTTTTGCATATGTTTATTTAGTTGAAGAACGTTTTCAATATAAATTTGATTGTGTAAATTACTTGATATTTTTTAATAATTTGTCAAAAAAATATCATCAGAATTTAATTGAGTCATTTAAATATATATAAAATAAATTGAATATATATATATATATATATATATATAAAGATGTACAAAACCTTTTATCTCAAATGAAAGAAAAAGATAATAGATAATATATAAATAAGTAATCATATTATCCTCGACTGGCCCAATGTAATAAAGAAGGAATTTTATCCTTGATCCGCCCATGTTATCATTAGACTATTGTCTTGCGTCACTCGATAACAACATTAATGACAAAATTATAAAGTCGATCGCATATGGTATTCCGCTAATGTCTATAATTTTACATCCACAATAATCCTTTCTATATGCTTTAGCCAACCAAAATCGGATATTTAATTTTAAGGCTTGTTTATGCATGTTGGTCTTATTTTCGTTCTCTCTCTCTATTTTACGTTTTATAAGTTGAACATAGAATTTGTTGAAGCCATAATTCTGTTTTCTAGACAGATATGTGTACTTGTTTTCTGCGGTTGTCAATGGCATTGAACGTAATTCGCTTTTTCTTAATTAGTAAATATTGAGGTAAAAAAATATTATAATTTCGTTAGAAAATAGTAATCTGTAAATAACTCACAACTAATAATGAATTCATAAAATTAATTATTTTAATATTGAAAAATTTACTTTTTATCATAAAAGAAATAGAAATAATAGGAGAATTAAAGAGAAAAGTGATAAAAAAAATGAATTCATTATAAAATGAAGCGAATACAAGAGATAACAATTTCAAGTAATTCTCTAAAACTCTACAAAATACTTATACACAAACTAATGACCAATCAAGCCTATTTATAGGCTTCAAAAGTGGAAAGAGAATTGGAAATGACTATAAATAATTAAAAGTACATAAATTATTGAATAAATTGCATCACCATTTCAATCTCTCATATTAAATGATGAATTAAATCACATTAATAATTATGAGCATAAGAGATATGAAACGTATATAGATATTCACACGGACATTCATTATTTCGTAACATACCCCTTTGAATGTCTATTATACAAGAAACATGTCTCGTTGAAACCTTATTAAGAAAAAACCCATAAAAAAAAAATCTTAGTGAAGAAAAAATAGTTCAATATTCCTTGTACATATTAATCCTCATATTGGTCTCTTCCTATTGAAAACATTATTTAAGATCTCTAAGATGACGCATTCTAATCTTGTGAATCATTTTCTTAAAAGTTGTAGTATATAATGCCTTAGTGAATAAATAAGTCTGAATTGTCACTTGATCGAATTTGTTGAACATTAATATCACTATTTAGTTGAAGATCATGTGTGAAAAATAATTTTGGTGATATATGTTTCGTTCGTCACCTTTGATATATCCTTCTTTTAATTGAGCTATGCAAGTAGTATTATCTTCATACAACATTGTTGGAACTTCCTTGCGAGTGGATAAACTACATGTCTCTTGAATATGAAAAGTCATTGATCTTAACCAAATATATTCTCGACTTACCTCATGAATTGCTAGTATTTCTACAAAGTTTGAAGATGTGATCGCTATAGTTTGCTTCATAAAATACCATGATATAGTTGTATCTCTATATGTAAATACATAACCATTTTAAGATCGAACTTTACATGAATCGGATAAATAACCTACCTCCGTATAATCAATTAATCCCGTCTTTGATTTATTAGAGTAATATAAGCTCGTATTAATTGTTCCTAAGAAATAACGTAGTACATGTTTAATTTTTTTCCAATGTCTTCGTGTTGGAGCATAACTATATCTTATTAATAAATTTATAGAAAACGTTATATTAGATCGGATATTATTAGTAAGATAATTAAATGCATCAATTGTACTAAGGTATGATACTTCGGGGCCAAGAAGCTCTTCATTATCTTCTCGAGGTCGAAAAGGATCTTTTTGGACATTAAGTGAACGGACTATTATTGGACTAGTAAATGGATAAACCTTATCCATGTAGAATCGTTGTAGTATGTTTTCTATATATGTTGAGCGATGAATAAAAATTCTATCTTCTAAGTGTTTGAATTGAAGGTTGAGATAAAATTTTATTTTTTCAAGATCGTTCATATCAAATTCTCTTTTTAAATAACTTAGGGAACTTATAATCTCTTCAAGAGTTTCAATTATATTTAAATCATCAACATATACAATAATTATCATAAACCCCTTTTTGAATTTCTTTATAAAGGAATATAAACAAATTGGATTATTTTTATAACCTTGTTTTAACAAATAATCACTAAGATGATTATACCATAAGCGTCTACATTGTTTTAATCCATAAAGAGATTTTTATAATTTAATTAAATACATCTCTTAAGAATGTATGTTACATGCTTCAGACATTTTAAGTCATTTTGAAACTTTCATATAGATATCATTATCATGTGAGCCATATAAATAGGTTGTGATCACAATTATTAAATATATATAAAGTTTTTCATGTGTTGTCAAGCTAATAAGATAACATAATGTAATTATATTCATTATAGGAGAATATGTCTCCTTATAGTCAATGCCAAGTCTTTAAGAAAACCGTTGTGTTATAAGTCTTGCTTTGTATCTCACAATTTTATCATTTTTATTTCGATTTTACACAAATACCTATTTGTATCCTATTGGCTTAACATATTCATGTGTTTTAACTATGATTCTAAAAATTGCTTGTTTCATGAGAGACTTTAATTCTTCCTAGATTGCATCTTTCCACTTAGGCCAATCATCTCTATGTCGATATTTTTCAATAGATTTAGGCTCGGGATCCTTATTCAAAATATCAATTGCAATATTATATGCAAAAATATTATTAATGAATGTTTCTTTTCGATCTCATTTTCTCCCCGCATCAACACAAAATAAATAAAAAATAAATTCTTCATAAACACAAATAAATAAATATATATATAGTAAAATAAATTTACAATTATCTCTATGCAAGTACAAATTATAAGAAAATATAAAATATCTTATTTATAAATAGAAAAGTTAACAAGTTATTGATTTCAATTATCTCCAATTTGATATATATAAAATTGGCTTCTATATTTTACTATTTTCTTTTTCAACGAGGCTTGATAAGGTTCAATGAGATGCTTTGATATACGATAAGTACGTAATCAATGTCCATTCATGCCATAATCGTGACGTTCATTTTTAGAATACCGACTTGATCTATTTTTTTTATTTTTTTATTTTTTTTATAGTTATCCACTTCTTGTAATGAAATGTATTATTATGGTTATCACGATTATAATGATAATTATTTTGACCACATCTATGGCCATGACCACATCTATGGCCATGACCACATCTTCGTTCATGCCTAAAATTATTATAAATTGTCACTTCATTTCAGAAAATAGAGTAGATCTAGTTGGATGAAATTTATTCTTTTTCATCAATAGCTTGTCATTTTATCTAGCCACGAACAAGTAAAAAATTGATTCATAATATTTTTTAAATCTTTTTCTCAATATGCTACCGTAAGAGCACATTCGAGACATGAAAAATATAGCATATTTACTCGGCATCAAACACTCATGATCAATAATTCTTGTCCAAAATGTCAAGGGCCACAAAATCAAGTTTCGTGAGGTTTGATATCATAAAAATTTTATAATGCAGAGTATAATAATAATATTAAGAAATAAAAATAAAATATGATAATAAAATTTAAATAAAAACAAATATAATAATAAAATTAAAATTTTCAAATAACATGCATTAGATTATTCAATTTTTTCAACTATATACTATATGTATTATTAGATTTAAAGTAAAAGATAAATTAGATATACATACCTCTTAATAGTTTAGATGAATTGCGTCGTTTGGCAAAACAATCGTGCTGATAATATATTATAAAAGAACTAAAAATAATAAGAGAATTGAAGAGAAATGTGATAAGAAAATGAATTCATTATAAAATGAAATGAATGAAAGAGATAACAACTCCAAGTAATTCTCTCAATCTCTACAAAATACTTGTACACAAACTAATGATCAATCAAGCCTATTTATAGGCTTCAAAAGTGGAAAGAGAATTAGAAGGGACTATGAATAATTAAAAATACATAAATTGTTGAATCAATTGCATTACCCTTTTAATATCTCATATTAAATGATGAATTGAATCACATTAAGAATTGTGAGTAGTAGAGATATGAAAAATATATGAATAATCATATGGATATTCATTATTTCATAACACTTTTATCATTATGTATTCTAATATTAAAAAATTTACTTTTATCGTGATCTTTTATGACATCAAAACATAATTTTACGCAAACAACACCTAGTATGTCAATTTTTATGCATCATTTAGCTTCATTTTTTTATCAATGCCTAACATTCGATAACATGAGAAGATGAAAAAGTATGTAACTAAACACACTAGCTAAATTCCGAGAGCTAATTTAATTGACAAGAAGGTATAATTTTTATGCTATAAATTAGATTCAACTTTAAAATTAGGTCATAAAAATGTAAATTTTCATCAATTTTCTATTTTTATAGTAATAAATTGTTTTTAAATGGATAACTAATCATAATTATCTCTTAGTGGTATTAATTTTGGATTGATTTAGTGCAAAAAATAGTTTAGTGATCGATTAAAGGTGTATTCTAACATTGACTTAATTCGAAAAATGATAGACTTAATATATTTTTTTAATTCATCGGAGGCCTAATGAACTTATTAGGCCACAAACTGGGATAACCCTCTCCATTGCATAATTATCAAAGAAACTAAAGTTATCGGAATTTGAAACTTGTTTCACTAGGGAAGCTAGTCGGGTACACAACTTCTAGACTAAGTCTCGCGTGCTTGTGATAGATTTAATCTTTATTGAAGCAAAAATTGGTCCGAAAATACTCTATTATCCGTAAAACTATATATCTTGCATTTAAACCTATCAAAAGATGGATTTAATATTAATAACTTAAGTTGATTTTTTTTAAAAAAACTTCATGATTGTGATAAAACTAACTCAATAAATTACCTTATCATTAAACAACCCAATTTTCTATCTTTCCTATTGATAACTTGCTTTTAAATGAATAATTAATCATAATTATTTATTAATGATATTGATTTTGGGTAGGTTTGACATAAAAAACAGTTTAGTACTAATCAACTAAAAATTAGATGTATTCTAATATTGACTTAACTAAAAAAATAATAAATTTAATCTCTATTGATGTAAAAGCTGGTCCGAAAATACTTCATTACCTATATATATATATATATATAATTGGTTTTGTAAAGTTGTGTTTAAATCTATCAAAAGATGGATTTAATCTTTAACCTTAATAATTTAAGTTGATTTAAGAAAATTGTATGATTGTCATAAAACTAAGTCAATTACCATAGCATATGAGCTAAATTAGACACAAACACATGAGAGATGCTTATTAAAAGGTTACATTAAACTTTCCTTCAAAAGGGTAAGTACATTATTAAAAAAATAAAAATAAAAAAATTACCCCGTAATTCAAGGTGGTGGATTAGTGGAGTACTTCAAGTTATGGCGAATCAAAACAATCCACTTGCTTATATGTAAAAAGTGAAAAAATAGAAATTCAAATTACCACGTATATAACTACTGTATCCCTGTCATGTATTCTCTTGGTGATTACATTTCAAAGCTAGGACAAAAAAACAGGAAGCGATTTTTAAGTCAACGGAAGGAACCAGAATACGAGACGACTTGAAGTCACGCCAACCTTTTCTTTTCTTTTTCTTGAGTTACAGTAGTACGGAAGACGAGAAGACTTGTTTCGTTCTCTTCTTTTTCGTCCTTTTATTTTTATTTTTGCTAATGTTGGTTCGTCATAGCTGTGACTCCCTTTTTGTTTCCCAATAGAAGTGAAGCAACACTCCTTCTTTACCTAATAATGAAGGCGAAGCGGAGATAATGCAGGAGCATATATCACTTTCTTTCTTTCCTTCTTTTAATCCATTGCTAGGTAACCCTCGTCCCTCTGTACTGTATTTCATAGTAAAGGCGATTCCTTTCTTTCCTGCAGTGTTTATGTCTCTTCCTTTGTGGTTAAGAAATCCCATTTCTATTTTTCCTTCCTTGGTTTCAAAGTTGGAAGCTCTTTCATTATTGCAGATGAAAGAGTAACCGATGACGGAAAGATCAGAGAGTTCACGCAAGATGACGAAGAAGAAAGAAATTCCAAACGATCATGGCTTCATTAACACCATTTTTTCTTGGTCTATTGAGGATATTTTGAATGAAAATCTTTTCAAGGTTTCTACCTTTCTTACCTTCCATTTTCATAATTCTGTCTATTTTTAACTTAGATTGTTGGGTTGTGATTATTATTTGCAGCTTTTGGATTGTTTTACTGATGAGTGAGTTGACGCTTCCTTTATTATAAGACAACAGCTTGAGTTATTCATTGCTTGCCATGTACGGAAGCAGATGCAGAGCTGCTCCAACCTAGAATAAAAACGAAGAGTTTTGGAAATTGTTTTTATGACGGAGTTCAAAACATTTTTATGGAGATGACAATTCTACATGTTTAATTAATTGTGCCAAATCTCATGATATAAATACCTCTAGTTTATTTGACAAACATGTGATGCGTTGGTGCAACTGTTTAATGAATGCGTAATTTAATGATCCAATTAAATATCGTTCGTGTTAGTTTATATTTTATGAAAGTGCTCGACTTCGAGATTAGGTATTTCGTTCCTTGGAAAGAATTTTGTTGCAGTTGAGCTGTCCTCGTGTTATGTAAAAGATTACATGATTATTGGCGTAGAATGTTTGGAGCTAGCATGTTCTGAGGTGCCTTCATGCCCATTTGAATGAGCTCATGTTTCATTTTCTTTTATAGGTTGACAAGATTCCTGAATCATTTGTCTCGGTAGAGCATTATCTTGGATCATATGTTCTTCCTTTGTTGGAAGAAACCCGAGCACAATTGCATTCAAGCATGGATATCATTTCCAGAGCACCATTTGCTGAAGTGGTTGCTTTCTACGAGTCCAAGCCCCATGGCACATTATTGTATGATGTTAAAGTTGATTATTGGAGAAACAGATCCAGTGGCCGTGGCAAGGAGCCTTACAAAACCTTGCCCGGTGATATTGTTGTTTTAACAGATGCTAAACCTGAACATGTCTCTGATTTGCAAAGGGCTGGAAGGACATGGATGTTTGCAGCGGTCACCAATATAACAGAGGATGAGATTGGGGATGCTGCTACGTCTACTACTTTTTTTAAAGTCAAGGTGCCACGAGACATTGAAATTAGCGATGGACTGCAGAAATCATTTACTGTGATTTCATTGACTAATATAACAACTAGCAAAAGAATATGGAGTGCACTCCACATGTTCGGAAACCTGAGTATCATCAAGGAAATTCTGTGCACTGATTCTGTGGTAAGAGATAGATGAATGCGATTGTTGTCTGTAGTATTATGTAGATTTAGCATTACCTTGGCTTGGCCTTCACGTAGATGCGCTATTTTGATATGTTGAAATATGGAAATAGCCATGATAAGTTGGCTTAGAATATGCTATCTCTTTAACTGTGCCTCTATTAATTTCTTTTGATGGTTTGGGAGGGATGGAAGTGGTATTTAAAACAAAATTTGGATAGTAAAATAAAATGTAAACAACTCATCTGTCTCTCTTTCTTTGGTTGTGGTTTTTTTGATGTGAAATAGATGGGCACCCTGATAATTATAACAGTGATGAAGAATAATCTTAGATGGCCATATTTTTCATCCTATTATTTAATTCCTCTCATATGTAATTGCAGACATAACTTCTAGGCGAGAGGAGTTTATTTGCTTTTCTGGTAAATATATCGTTTGGAACTTGATTGAGTTTCCATTTTGTTAACAGGTTGAGGAAAATTGCAGCTATTGTTCTATTTGGGGAGATGGAATCTGGGATGAGAATGTTCTGAATTCGTCATCTAAATTGAATGAGTCCCAAACCGAGGCAATTTTGGCTTGTCTGCATAAACAGCATTGTAACCATAAGTCTGCAGTTGAACTTATTTGGGGCCCTCCAGGGACAGGGAAAACCAAAACCGTCAGTATGTTGCTCTTTAGCCTCCTAAAAATGAAATGCAGAACCCTAACGTGTGCCCCGACCAATGTTGCAATCACAGAAGTGACCTCTAGGGTGCTAAAGCTGGTCAAAGAATCTTATGAAAGAGGTTCGGGAAGTAATTCTTTGTTTTATTCTGTGGGAGATATTCTTTTGTTTGGGAATAACGACAGACTCAAAGTTGATTCAGAAATTGAGGAAATATATTTAGATTATCGTGTCCGAAGGCTTCTAGAGTGCTTTGCACCTCGGACTGGTTGGTGGCAATGTTTCACTTCGACAATTGATTTTTTTGAAGATTGTGTTTCTCAGTATACTGTTTTCATGGAGAATGAATCGATCAAAATGCTGGAGCATGATAATGAAAGTAAAGAGAAAAAGGAAATCTGCAGCCATGAAACTGAGGCTTGCAAAGGAGAGCGTAAATCATTTCTTGAATTTATGAGAGAGAGATTCTGCTCTACTGCATCACTACTGAAAAGATGTGTCACTTTATTATGCACTCACATACCTGAAACTTACATTCTGAAACATAACATTCAGAACATTGTAACCTTGGTTTGGTTACTTAACTCTTTTGAAACTTTGCTATTCCATGCGGATGTGATTTCTGAACAATTGTTGGAACTTTTTTCACACCCAGAGATGGTTGAGCATCCTCCCCAAGGTTCTGCTGATAAATTATTGTGGTTGCAATTTAGGAGAAATGAATGCCTTTGTATTTTGAAAACGCTCCGGGAGTCTCTCCGCAATCTGAATCTTCCAAGTGCTATGAGTAAGCAGTCAATAGAGGAACTCTGTTTCCAAACAGCATCCTTAATTTTCTGCACGACGTCTAGTTCGTATAAGCTGCATTTGATGCCGATTGAACCGCTGAACTTTTTGGTTGTTGATGAAGCAGCACAGTTAAAAGAGTGTGAAACATCAATACCTCTACAGCTTCCTGGTATTAGGCATGCTGTTCTAATTGGTGATGAGTGCCAATTACCAGCTATGGTTGAAAGCAATGTATGAAAATATTACTTCATTGTTTTATTATGATGTCTTTTTGGTTGAACTGATTTTAGATTTGTGAATTCTCACACTATTGGCTTCTTACATCTTATGGTTTTTCAGGCTTGTAATGAAGCTGGCTTTGGAAGGAGTTTATTTGAAAGGTTGAGCTCATTGGATCATTCAAAACACCTTTTAGATATGCAGTACAGAATGCATCCGTCTATCAGTTGCTTCCCAAATTCAAAATTCTACTTTAACAGGATCTTAGATGCGCCAAATGTTAAGAGTAGAAGTTATGAGAAGCGTTATCTTCCAGGGCCAATGTTTGGTCCCTATTCATTCATAAATGTAATTGGTGGAAGGGAAGAGCTTGATGATGTTGGCCAAAGCAAGAAAAATATGGTTGAGGTAGCCATTGTGCTGAAATTACTGCAAAATCTGTACAAAGGTATATTATGTGAGAACTTGATGTTTCTGTTACTACCGTGCTTAGAAGTTTATACACCAATACAACAGAAGGCTTGTGTTTTTTCTGTGCAAATTGATGCTTGTAATTTTAGCATTGGCTTGCTGAGTAAATTCTTAAACTACTAAACTTTGTCTGACGGTGTTTTCATCTTGCCTTAAAACCTTGTATGATTCTTTTTATCACCTCTAGAGCCTGCCTTGTGTTCATAGGGATTGATAATAGGGAAGTGAAACAATGAAAATGCTTTCCCTTTCGAAGAAAGGGCAAACACCATGAAGTTGATACTTTTTGTGATAAATTTTTGAGTTAACATGTTATGTGCTGAAAACATCATTTTATTGGTTGAAACAATTTCTGCTATCCTTTTTTAATTTTATGTTTATAATTTGTTTTTGGCATCTTTTCATGTTTCTGTATTCAGCGTGCAATGGCTCAAAACAAAAGGTTAGAATTGGTGTAATATCTCCATATTCTGCTCAAGTTGTTGCGATACAAGAGAAGCTTGGTCAGAAGTATGAAAACAGTAATGGTTTTTCAGTCAAGGTGAGGTCAATAGATGGATTTCAAGGTAGTGAAGAGGACATTGTAATAATATCAACTGTGAGATCCAATAGAGGAGGAGAAATTGGGTTCGTGTCCAATCCTCGGAGAATTAATGTTGCTCTTACAAGGGCTAGGTATTGCTTCAAATCAACTCTTTCCGTAGAGTCTTTTAATGGTTCTAATGACTCATTTGCCTTTTTTAATGCCTTCTCAGGCATTGTCTTTGGATTTTGGGGAATGAAAGAACCCTATCAAATAGTGAATCTATTTGGGAAGTGTTAGTCCGTGATGCCAAGGAGCGCAAATGTTTCTTTAATGCCGATGAAGATAAGGATTTGGCCAAAGCCATTTTAGAAGTCAAAAAAGAGTTTGATCAACTTGATGATTTGATTAATGGAGATAGTGCACTATTCAGAAGTGCTAGATGGAAGGTATTTAATTCATAGTTAGATTTCTGTCATCCATCATATTTGTATCAAGGTAGTATTTTTGGCAGATGTTGTGTTAAGCATCATAGTTATTTTCTTTTGCTATTTGTGCTGTTTAGGTTCTTTTCAGTGAATACTTCAAAAAATCATTTGGGAAACTAGCATCTGTCCGAACAAAGACATCCGTTCTGAACCTTCTACTGAAACTTTCCAGTGGCTGGCGTCCCAAGAAGAGGAATGTAGACTCAATTTGCGGAAGCTCTTCTCAAATCTTGAAACAATTCAAGGTTGAAGGGCTTTATATAATCTGTTCAATTGACTTAGTGAAGGAAATGAACTACACTCAAGTTTTGAAGGTTTGGGATTTATTGCCGTTGGAAGATATTCCTAAATTGGCTAAACGTCTTGATGGCATCTTTGAGAGATACACTGACGAGTTTATCAGCCATTGCAATGAGAAATGCCTTGAGGGGTATGTGTTTGCTTTATTAATTTGACCTCTCGTTGTGTTCCTAACTAATGATGTGGGAAATTTGCTTTATTTGGCGGAAACAGTAATATTTCTTTTTTCTGATTTTGGATTTCTCTTATTGTTTGTTTGTTTCCAGAGATCTGGAAGTTCCAAAGATTTGGACAACCTCTTTTGATATTGTCCGATACAAGAGTCGTAGCGCCAATGAAATAGAGAGCAATTCAAATTCCAGCGATCCTGATGGTAGCTATTACGTAGAGAACTCAAAAGTGAGCGATAGTTTGTTGCTGATGAAGTTCTACTCCTTATCAGCTGGAGTTGTGAGCCACTTGCTTTCTGACCGTGATGGAAGAGAATTAGAGCTCCCATTTGAAGTGACTGATGAAGAATTGGAAATAATCATATTCCAAAGAAGTACATTTATTCTTGGACGATCAGGGACTGGTAAAACTACTGTCTTAACCATGAAGCTGTTTAAGAAAGAGCAACTGTATCTTATGGCAACTGAAGGATTTGATGATGTCATTGGCAATACTTCAAAGGACAGCAGTTGGAGAAACAATGTTGATGGCATAAAATCTGTTGATGATGGTGTTGGAGATGCTAAGAAAACTGTCTTGCGCCAGCTTTTTGTGACCGTCAGTCCAAAACTTTGTTATGCTGTCAAGCATCACGTTTCACAATTGAAAAGGTGTGTATTATTTTAGAAAAAATATACTCTGCATTAGAGCTGATACATCCAGTTTAAATGTCAGTATTTCTTTCTCAAAGTGTGTTTTATGGTGCAATTTGTTATTAGGAAATTAGTTTTCTAGAACAAGCAAGTGTTCATATGTGCTGTTGGATTGAACTTTTATAAATATTACAGAAGGCCCTAAAATCAACCTACTTCTGTACTTCATAAGCGTTTATTTTTAACCACATCACTCCATTCAATTCTTGTCAAAGTTTGGAAAATTCTGTGAATATGCAAAGAATCTAAGGGAGATTTGGGTTTTGGATCTCTTCATGGAGTGAAAAACTGGAAAAGCATGGAGATTTTGGAGCGTTTGACCCAGTAACTAAAGTTAACCTGCAGTTTTTCAGGCAAAGAGAAAAGAAAAACTGTTTCAGATGTTCTTTGCTTTCAGCATGCCCTCTTATTTATTTATTTGTTTATTTATTTTAAAGTTCAATGAGAAGAATAATCTGCCTCATTGTTATAACGTTATATATTATAGAAGCATTCTGCAGCATGTCCTGCTGTTGAGGATTTTCGCTGCATTGTTGAAGCAGTCACTTGAGACCCATGCTTCAAAACTATGAGCAAGAAGATAATATCTTGACTGACAATATGTTTTGCATCTGTAAAAACTGAAACAGTTGTCATATCAATTTTTTTTTTTTTTTTGTTGACTGAATCTTCTCCTTATATGTATACAGCTTTGCCTCTGGTGGAAAATATTCAGCTGAAGGCAGTTCAGTTGATATGGTAGATATTGATGATGGCGCACAATTCAAAGATATCCCAAATTCCTTTTTTCATATTTCTCCCGAGTCATACCCTCTTGTTATCACTTTCTTTAAGTTTTTGATGATGCTTGATGGAACAATGGGTAATTCATATTTTGAAAGATTTTCTGATATGAAGCAGCTTTTGCATGGAAAAGTGGGGAATTCAGGATCAATTGCAATACAAACTCTTATAAGAACCAGGGAGGTCAACTTTGAGAAGTTTTGTGAAGTTTATTGGCCACATTTCAACAGCAAATTCACAAAAAAACTTGATTCATCCAGAGTATTTACTGAGATAATGTCTCATATAAAGGGTGGCCTGCAAGCTGGAGAGTCTTGTGATGGCAGACTGAGCCGTGAAAATTATGTTATACTTTCAGAAGGTCGTATATCCACTTTGAATAAGCAGAAGAGAGAAATGATTTATGATATTTTTGAAGACTATGAAAAGATGAAGGCAGCAAATGGTGATTTTGATATGGCTGATTTTGTAAATGATCTTCATCTTCGTCTTAAAACTTACAATTATGAGGGTGACATGATGGAATTTGTCTATATTGATGAAGTCCAAGATCTTACAATGAGGCAAATTGCTCTTTTCAAACACACGTGTAGGAATGTAAATGAGGGATTTGTTTTTTCTGGGGACACAGCTCAAACAATTGCTAGGGGAATTGATTTTAGGTTTGAAGATATAAGATCTTTGTTCTACAATGAGTTTGTTTTAGGATCAAGGATTGAAGGAAATGAGAGGAGAAGTGAGAAAGGTCAAATATCTAAAATTTTTCATTTGAGCCAAAACTTTCGAACCCATGCTGGTGTGCTCAAGTTAGCTCAGAGTGTTATCGACCTCCTTTACCGTTTTTTCCCTTCATTTATTGATATTTTAAGCCATGAAACAAGTCTTATATTTGGTGAAGCCCCTATTTTACTTGAATCTGGAAATGATGAAAATGCAATTGTAACTATATTCGGGAATAGTGGGAATGAAGGAAGCAATTTTGTTGGGTTTGGAGCAGAGCAGGTTATATTAGTACGGGATGATATTGCTAGGAAAGAAATTTATAACTATGTTGGGAAGCAAGCTCTTGTTTTGACTATAATAGAATGCAAGGGCCTAGAATTTCAGGTCAGTGGCATTTGCTAATTATTGTATTTTTTTTTCTATTTACAGAATCATCTTCATCATCTGTACTTCTGTTGAAGTATGTCTTCCTTTTGTCCAAGTTAACATGTTTGATCTCCACATTGATAAGTTCTTCCATGCCCATTTCTTCAGCCTTTCAATAACATAAACATCTGAAGTCTGAATTCTTGTTTTGATATGGGTGGGGAGTGGAGAAGATTCATTTTTCATATAGATTTGATGAATGTTTACTATTTTGACTTACTTTCACATTTCTTTCTGCCACCGATGGCTTTGCATCTTTAACTTTTTGTCTCATCTTTTTTTAGGATGTACTCTTATACAACTTTTTTGGCTCATCACCTTTGCGAAATAAATGGAGAGTTGTCTATGAGTTCATGAAGGAACAAGATTTACTTGATTCCTATTCTCCATCCCTTCAAAGTTTCAACCCGGCAAAACATAATGTCTTGTGTTCTGAGTTGAAGCAATTGTACGTTGCTATCACTCGTACAAGGCAAAGGTTGTGGATTTGTGAGAATGTAGAGGAGTTCTCCAAACCAATGTTTGATTACTGGATGAAGAAGAACCTTGTCCAAGTGAGGAAACTGGATGATTCACTTGCACAAGCAATGCAAGTGGCTAGCAGTCCTGAAGAGTGGAAGTCTCGGGGTTACAAGGTTTGCTTCTTGTTATTCTTTGTGGTATTTAGCTCAGTTTCTTGCTTTTGACGTTCTTACAACAAATTTTGGTTGTGCAATCACTTGCGTATGTGAAATTTGTCTTGGACCGGAGGTAAGCCAATTTGTTCATGAAACTTTTGTGAGTTTGGATATCTTCATTTTTGGTTGCTTTCAGTGATAGTAGATGCTTTCATCATGCCCTTCCTACTTGTGTGAAACGATAAAGATTTTTCTCTTATACTGCTTTCTTGTAGTCTCACCACGCTCATACAAGTGTAACTTGCCTTTTCTTTTCCTTCTGTTGGTGTCACACAGCTTTTACGTGAGGGTAACTTTGAGATGGCAACAATGTGTTTTGAAAGAGCTGGGGATGAATATGGGGAAAAATTATCTAAGGCTGCTGGGCTGAAAGCTTCTGCTGACAGAATGCATAGTTCAAATCCTGAAATGGCTTCTGTTGCTCGTAGGCAGGCTGCAGAAATTTTTGAATTGATAGGCAAGGCTGAGTATGCTGCAGAATGTTTTTATGTGTTGAATGATTATGATAGAGCAGGTATGCTTTGGTGCAATCTTTGCTTCTTTTTCATGCTTTTACAGAAACATAAACAGATTAACGAAAATGCAATTGCCAGCAAATGAGTGCATTGTATTGCTACAACTGTTATGCTGCACTTTTTCTTCTAATGTTTCTGTTAGTTATAATAATTGCCATTTGCCTATGTCCCTTTTTTTCTGAATTAAACATTCTTCATTTGCAAATTGCACCATCTTTTCAATAGGAAAATTATTTTGCAAATTAAAAATTTGCAAACTGGTTGACCTGGATGATCTTAATCTTAAGTTGCTGTTATTACCGAGATTTTGAAAAAATTATTTGTGTTCATCCACCATGAGAGCCATGTACTTTGTGACCATACTTACTTGCCTTTGCAGGTAGGATTTACTTGCAATGTGGGGAAACTGCAGTGGAAAGAGCTGGAGAATGTTTTTTTCTTGCTGGAAGTTATAATTTTGCAGCTGAAGTGTATGCTAAAGGCAGCTATTTCTCCAAGTGCTTGTCAGCATGTACCGAAGGAAAACTCTTTGAGATGGGCTTGGATTATATTCAGTACTGGAAACAGCATGTGACTGCAGATAAAAGAAGCAGAGACATGGACAAGATTGAGCAAGAGTTTCTGGAGAGAGGTGCTCGTCATTATTATGAGGTCAATGACAAAGGAGCCATGATGAGATATGTTAGAGCTTTTGATTCCATGTCTTCTATTCGAACTTTCTTGATGAATTTAGGGTGCCTTGATGAGCTTCTGTCATTGGAAGAAGAATCAGGCAACTTCCTGGAGGCAGCAAACATCGCGAAGCTGAAAGGGGAGCTTGTTCTTGAGGCAGATCTGCTTGGTAAGGGTGGAAAGTTTAAGGATGCTTCATTGCTCATTCTATGGTTTGTGTTTGCAAACTCTCTGTGGTCAACTGGGAGCAAAGGCTGGCCTTTAAAGCAGTTTTTTCAGAAAGAGGAGCTTTTAACACAAGCAAAGTCCCTTGCAAAGAACATGTCGGACCAGTTTTATGAGTTCGTTCACTCAGAGGCTGAAATTTTATTGAATAGTCAGCAAAACTTATTCACGATTCAGCAAAGTCTATATGCTTCTCAGAGACATAATAGCATAAGAGGTGAAATATTATCAGTTCGAAAGATTCTGGATGAGCATTTTCATGTAAATGCCTTGAAGTATGGATGGGAAGATGAGTTGGTTTCTGATTTAGCAAGGTTGTCGGAATATTCATGTTCAAACAATCAGGTTTCTGCTGAGACACTTGTTTACTTTTGGAATTTTTGGAAGGATAAGATTGTGAGCATACTCAAGTATCTTGGTCGCCTTGAAATGCAAGATGTAACCGAATATAGTGGTTACGGCGAATTCTGCTTGAATTACTTGGGCGTGCAGAGACAGCTTAATAATCGGAATGCTAGCTATTTTCTTATGAACTCTGATGCTCAGTGGGTGAGGGACGGGTGCAGCAAATTTCTTATAAGGAAAGGGAATTTGGTTTCTGTAGATGTTCATCATTTTGTCACTGCTGCTCAGAGTTATTGGTGTTCAGAATTACTTTCTGTCGGCAAGAATGTGTTGACCAATCTTGAAGCCCTTTACAACTTATCTGTTGGGAATTCCTTGTCCCTCTTCTGTCAAAGCAGGTCTCTTACTCATATCTATGAGGTTGCAAGATTTCTTTTGAATTGCCAGCTTCTCAATCATCGAAACAGTGATATCAAGGCACTTCAGAAATACACTGAGTTGGCAACTGAACGCATCTATGACTGCATCTATCCTCGGGACTGGAGAGAATCGCTGAAAGAGAATATGATTTCTTTGAGGGGAACTGAGATATGTAGGAATTTACTCAAGGAAGTTGTTTTTTATAATGTGAGCTCAAAGAGCAAGCTGTCTTATGCACAAGCTGGAAGGATCTCATCAATGATTCTTGGGTCTGGTAAAATGTTCTGTGAACCATATGAGAAGATTGCTGATGGTTTAAAATCGAATTCGTCATGGCATGCTTTCATTAAGGATCTGTGTAGGAATGTGAGTGAGAAGTCCTATGTGTGGAAGTTGCATGAAGCTCTAGAAGAGACTTACAATGCCAACTGGAGGAATGTAGATTATATCTCACCTGGTTGTTTCTTATACATTCTCGAACGCCAACTGATTTTGTTGTCCTATTTCAATGGGTGTTGTTTTACGGCAAAGTCTACTTTTGTGGAATGGCTTATCTATCAAGAACGCAATGGCAGCTCGACCTTTAGTGCAATGGAAGATGCACCACAATCTACAGAAAACATCCTGAAGTTTATTGTAAACGCTGTTCAGGTGTTCCTTTATAATGACAAGGATATGGTGGATTGGATCAGAGTATCTGAAAAGAACATTAAAGTCGTGAAGGACTACCATGCATTAGTAGTGTTGAGATTGGTTGTCATAATATGTTTAATTTATTTGAACTTTGGGTGGTGTAAAGCCTTGCTTTCTGACTTGCTGGGTAAGAACAATATCACCAAACTACTGCCAAGGCAATTTTATGATGCCATCCGGAAAAGGCAGAGGCATAATTCTCTGAATGTAAATGTTAATGTGGTAGCCGAAGCATTTAGCAAGATTGGCAATCCTCTGGTAGTTGTGAGTTTTGGTAAAAATTGTTCAGGATATTTTTGTCCAGATGCTATTTTTGTGGACATGAGGGTCGATGAAACCAAAAACAACATATTAAGAGTTTTGTTTCCGAAGACCAATGCTACTGCTCAAGATCACACAGAATCTGTTAAAGCAGACACTAGTAGCTCATGCAAAGTTATAGTGTCTAAAGGCATCGAAGATCCAGGGAAGATACCTGAGCTTCCAATTAATGTTGCTGCTGCGGAAAATTGGAAAAAGGATGAGGGCAACTTTCCATTGCGCCATGCCTGGATTTGGGAGCTCTTTGAAGCACTAAAATCTCAGAATCATGATGGAGACGAAAGAAGCAATATTGCTTGGGATCCAACATTTAAGGTAATGCTGTTTTGGGAATTGCATTTTACTTTTGAAGCATGTTCAGAGTCTTGGTTATCTTTTTCTGCTAATCATTTTTTTTTCAGTTGGATGTAGACAGAGTTATTTACCTTTTACATGAAGCAATTGATGGAAATTTTCAGAGGAACCCTCCTAGTGCTGAAAATAAAAACCTATTTGAGGAAGCTGTCACCATGTTCCACGAAATGAAGCAACTTTCTGCTGCATTAGAAGTGAGGTCAGTTTAAGCATGATGATCCATGGTTCTTACTAATTTATGAATTGTTAAGAATTTAATTAACATTGTCTCGAAAGTGTAGATTTTCAATCATTCTAGAAAAATGTCAATGATTTAAATGAGTAAATATCTCAAGTTTCATGAACAGCATATGCCTTGCCTCGCTGCGTGATCAAAATTCTATCAATCTAGCAGCAAATTGCATAGGACATAATTAGCACATGCATTAATAAAGTTGATTCAACATCAACCTAGCATTCATATCAAAATATTTATTCTAAAAATTATTAAGAAAATCCATCCTAAACGTTTTTTTCAAAATACTAAATAACTATTTTTGCAACAATAAAATTGTGAAGTTATAATATACAATCCTGAAAGAGAAATTTTAACAATATTTTGCTGAGGTAATATACTATTAATTGAATTTTTCTACTGTATTAGAGCCTCTTTGATTCTGTTAAGTGATAAGTCCATTATTTGATTCCATGCTCTTCATTGTGACTCAGTCTCATTGCATCTCCTTTGCTGATGGCACGAGTTAATGCAGTCTTGAATGATTTTGAAGTAATTTAAGCTTATACCATGTTAATTTGTTCAGAAAACCGTTCCAGTAGTATCTCATTCCATACTGAAGCATCAATTTTTTTTTCCTATGATTCTATTTCAAGTATATTTTCCTTTCAGGGATCCAGAGCTTGAGAACGGCATTTCCACAATTGGACAACTTCTCGAGAAGCTGCAGTCAAGAAGGCCGAGAATGGAACCTTTCCTGAACCAAGTATTCTTGCAACAAGAAGAAAATCTTAAAAGAGATATGCCGGATACAAGCAATGCACCAGATGGCCAACGTGATGAGGAATGCAGTAACAGCACGGCTGAGGGGAGTTGCAATTCTGCTAAAGGTGAGATAAACTTTTCACGGAGGGATGCTGCTCTTGAAACCCAAGACAGCAATCCTGATATGGAGAACAAAGGGAAGGGAAATAGCAAGTCGAAGAAAAACAAGAAGAGAAAAGGAGGGCGGAAACGCAACTAGCTTTACAACGCTCAATGCATCAAGGAATAGATGTTTCTTAAAAAGATATTACGAAGCCTAATATTATGTAATGACACCTAAAATGAACTTGCAATATCAATAGGTCATATTTCCATTCTCGTTTTCCTTTGTCGTATCTCGTAACTAGTCTTGCACTGGAAATTTTTATGACGCAGGATCTCTATGCATGGCACTGGTGATGTCGATCGGATCAGAGCGTAAAGCTGGTTGCTACAGTAATTGTTTTTAGTGATTTATGTTCAACGTGACATGTTCCTTTTTTCAGGGCATGATTATACTTGGAACCATAGTTTTAAATCGTGGATAATTGAAAAAACAGTCGTGATTGTTATTGTGGATCGCGACCTATTATAATACTAAAATAACGATAATATTATGCTTCAAAATCATTACATGACGGTTGTTATTTAATGTTATGCTTGGAACATAGGTTTTTGAGACTTGGCACTACATCATTTTTATTTTTTAGACTTCTGTTCTTTTTATGCATAGCAATTGTGCTTGTTCTGGATTTCTTGTGCCATATCCACTTTGATTTTCAGAAGTAATTTCTAATATCATGAGCCGCATAAGGTTGAAACCTAGTTGAACTTAAAATAACTTCAGTTTTAGCGGGTGGACTTTGCTAACCCTGTGGCCAATAACAGTGATAATTCAAGCAGTATGTACCCTTCTGTGTTGATCTTGGACAGTCTTATCCTCCTGTGTTGGCCTTTCTAGAGACTAGAGATCGATAATTATCACAGGATGTGGTATGTACCCTTCTGCATTTTTATCAGTGAATTATAAATTAGTTTTTATCTTTTAGAATAACAAATTAATTAGTCTCCTTTCTTTTAAAAACTGATTTTTTAGTCTCTCATATTTTAAATTTTTTAATAACTTAATTCTTTCATTAGTTTTACCTTAAATTAGTGAATTTTCTTTTTAAATTATAAATTATTTTTAAAGAGAAAAAAAGACAGAGAAGAGTAATTTGAGAAAAAAATCACTAATCAAATGATAAACTGATGAAAAGATAAAGTTATTAACATAATTAAACATACTGGACTAAATGATTAATTTTTAAAATAAAGAAGACTAATTAATTTGTTTTCCAAAACAAGAGGGACTGATTTACAATTTACTTGCATTTTTATTATTATAAAGAAGTTAAAACTCGATGGTGTGTGACTGTAGTTAAGAGGAGTTTGGCTACAATAAACACATCTAAAAAGGCGTGGTTTTGGGAATTTTTTTTTTTTAAAAAAAAAATCTTTTGCAAATAGGTATTTATTATGATTGTTGTTGTATGATTTTTCTTAAAACTGTAAATTCATTTTGGTCTTTGGTTCGTAAGAAATTATTTTTAAACTTCGGCGTGTTAAAATGAGGTCCTCGAAAATAAAAACATTAGAGACAGTTGGTTTTTTTATTTTTTATTTTTTTATAGTTATAAGGTTGATTAAAACATGTTGAGGTTCAAAAATGAATTTTAAATGTTTTTAAAATGATTATAAAGCATCTGAAAGTAAAAAATTGAGTTTCAAAAACCAAAACCAACAACATCTGATTTTTCAATATCTTTTTCGAACTATATTAGTCACTTACTCGCGCTACACTATGAATGCAATAGAAAAAAATCACTTAAGATTTTAAATTTTTTAATTATAATTTTCTAATGTTTTTTTTTTTTTTTTGGTAAATTTTTTGCTTAAAAAAACATAAATCATTCTTCTTTATGAATTGATTTAAAATATATATATAATAATTTTAACTAAAATATTAATCAAGAATTAAAAAAAACTATAAAAATATAATTTTCATAGTCTTGTATTCTAAAAAATAAAAGTTATAATTAATGGACAGATCGTTACAAAAATTTTATTTAATAATAATGAGAAGATTACTTTTTAAAATTATCCATACAATGCTACGGGTAGATAGAACAAAATCAATTAAAATTTTTATAATTTTTTATTTAATTATTTCAATTTTTTTGTTTTTTGTTTTTTTGTGTTTTCATAAATTTTTTTGCTTAACAAACATGATTCATTCTTCTTTATTTAGGAATTCTTAAATAAAAACTTGTAATAATTTAAGCTCGAAATGTTAATTAAGAATTCAAAAGCAAATACATTAAAATTATATTTGTTTATAAGAATGTATCAAAAAAATAAAGTTACAATTAATTTATAAATTTGCATAAAAATTAACCAATGAAAAAATAAAAATTTATTCTTATTTAATGTTGGTGAGAAGATTTTTTTTTCAAGTATATGCATTAGATATATATATATATTTGTTTGCAAAATAATCAACAAAATTAGCATAAAAAACTATATTTGAATAATTGGTTAGTTCCTTCAAAAAATTATTTTAATTATTTTATAATTTTTTCTATAATGTTAAAAAATATATTCATTGTAAATAATTTGTATTATGTTAGAAGATGTATAGTTAATTTTTATAAAATTAACAATTCAATAGTCTTTTATATGTCTTAACCATACCTAGTGAATTTAGACAAATTATTTGAAATATGCTTTTAAATTTTTAGAATAAAATAATTATATATTTATATATGCGCAACTCGTCATTTAAAAATTTTAAGAATTCATGATATATACTATACCAATTTACTTTTTAAAAAAGAAAAAAACAATCATGTTTTAAAATTTTATTCTAAAATTCAAATATAGAGAAAAATAAATTATATTTATCAATAAATAAAATCTTGTATAAAATATTAATTAGATGAGAATTTTCATAAAAAAATAATAAATTAAAATAATGAAATTTAAATGATAAGATTAATATAAACTGAAGTATATGTTAATTTTAAAATATATAAAGATAGTGTGTGCGTACGTGTGTGTGTGTGTGTGCGCCACGTTAAAATGAAAGAAAAATAAAAACTAAGGATTAAAAAGAATGTTACAACATGAGGGATGAAAAATAGAAAAAAGTGTTAAATTTGCATATTAATGTCCAAAAATACAATAAAATGACACACAAAAATTACTTAAATTGACATTAAGTGAATAGTAATTTTATGCATATGAATAGTAAGTGAATAAGAATTTTAGACATATGAATAGTTCGATTCTCGCACTATACTATAGAACTAAATATATTTATTTCAATTTGATAACATATATTATGTTATCGTTTAATTAAAATATATTAAATTAAATATAAAAGATAAATTTTGAATATGATTTGTTCTTTCTTATGCATTTATTCCTAAATAAAACTCATAATAAACAAATTTTAATACAAAATTTTTGAAAAACATCTTAATATTTTTTTCATTATATTGCATCGAAGAAATAAAGCAATAATTAGTATAAAAACTTGTATGAAAATTAAAAAATAAAACTTTTTTACTAATGAGAAGATTATTTTTTAAAAATATATACATTTGATTTATATATATTTATTTACAAAATAATGAATAATATTAGTATACAGAATTATATCTAAATTATAAGGTGGTTATTCTAAAATATTATTTCAATTATTTTATTTAAAAAATCATTTTGAATATTAAAAAAGTGATAGCGAATAGTTGGTATTGTGTGTATAGATGCATAGTTGATTTATAATAAAATCAATGACTCCAACGTTATTATTTTTGATACATCATGACCGTATTCAATAGGCGAGAATGTATAAAATAAATTAAAAAATATTTTAAGAAATTCAATGGTAAAATATATATTAAAGTTAATAGAGTGCAGTAAAAATTATAAAATTAATTTCGATACAATTTGATCATGTAAAAAATAAGAAAATAAAATACATATATTCAATTTTTAAAATTTGATTATATAAGAATTAAGAAAATAAAAATAGGTATTGAAAAAACTTATTCGAATCCATACATAGATAAAATAAGTTATATTTATCAATAAATAAAATTATAAAAAAATAAAAATAAAAATTAACTTGATGAGAATTTTTATCAAAAAAAATTAATTTTAAACAATAAGAATACTTTATATTTATTCTAAAATCTAAAAATATATCATATAAATATAAAAAATATTTATATATTACATAATTATCAGTTTGCATGGAAAAAAATAACGATTGATTTTTTAAAATTGTAACACTTGATCAAATAAAAAAAAGAATATAAATTGATGAAAAAGCAAAGCAAAAAAAAAAAAAAAAGACATGAGTTGTGTTATATAATTGTTAATTTTTATGGAAAAAAACAATGATTGATTTTTCAAAATTCTAACACTTAATTAAATAAAAAAAAGAAAATAAATTGATGGAAAAAAGGAAAAAAAGATATGAGTCGTGCATTAGTTAGGGGATTAAATTTTTTATTTTAAAATTTTAGAGACCAAAATGAAACAACCTGAAAATTAAGAAAAGAACCTAAATTGATGAGAAAAAGCAAAGAAAAAAGAAGACATGTATAGTAAAACAACTTGAAAAAAAAAACAAAGAAAAAAAAAAGAAAAAAAAATCCAAAAGCATATCTTATAAATATAAAACATATCGTATATGTTATATAATCGTTAGTTTGTATGAAAAAAGTAATGATTGATTTTTTAAAATTTTAACACATAATTAAAAAAAAAAAGAACATAAATTAATGGAAAGAAACAAAGAAAAAAGAAAGCATGAGTAGTGCATCGGTTAGGAGATTAAAATTTTTATTTTAAAATTTTAGAGATCAAAATGAAACAATCTGAAAATTTCAAAAAAAAAACCTAACTCAATGGACAAAAACAAAAGATGAGAAAAAAAAAAGATATGTATTCACAACAACTTGAAAAAAAAGAAAAGAACAATACTTAGAAAAAAAAAGGTGAACAAGTGGATGAAAAAAATAAATAAATAAAAGAACCTAACATGATGGAAAAAAACAAAGGATGCAAAAAAGAAAACAACAACTTGAAATTAAAAAAAAAAAAAGAAAGTGAACAATACTTGAAAAAAAAAAAGAAGAGATGAACAAGATTGTTAATCATCACAACCGC